GGGGGGGGGGGGGAGGATACGATCGAAAACTACAATTGCGGACTTGCATACCGTACAAAGTCGTCTGTTTCAAGCTCACTTTGAAAAGTGATTGCAGTTTCTCTGTAAATTTACATGTTGTTAAAATTTAATAATTGATTTATTATAAAATCGATTATTTTACCGCGGCAAAATTGTCTACATTGAAAAAGAGATTGGTTACGAGTGGGGGAAGGAGGGACACTGTCGTAATATAACAAAATATCGCAATGCGTAGCGCATCGGATGGAACATTCGCCTCGAGCGCCCGCGCGCGCGCGCGAGCACATGTATGAAATACTTGGATGTACTCAGGAAATGAGATCCGAGTCTATCTGCGCGCAATCAGATATGGGAATTCGCGTGCCTCGCGGATATTCAGATATTCACAATGGTCTGGATTCGTGCCGCACACGCTTGACATGTTGTTCGCGACGTTAATCAGTCCAAACGATTATTCCTCTCAGATGCCTCATCGGTATTTACCCGTCTCGTACTTTTAGACGCGCCCTACTTTTACTAGTGCGAGACACTACTGAAAATTATTATTATCTGCGCGATAACAAAATAAAATCTCGGGTTTTGATAAAAAAATTTTCGAAACAAGAGATATTTTTCATTTTTTAATTTATAAAAAGCAATGGAAAATAATAGAATTCCTTTAGTAATTTATTAAAATACACACCCATTATCTTGCAATATTCCTTTCTGTGTTAATTTATTCTCTAAAAATAATTTAATTCGTCACAATTTATACAACGAAGGAAAATTTTACGATAATACCGTCATCGATTGTCGAGGGCGTTTGTTACGAAGTACCGCCGAAGCGTGATAGGAATCGTCCACCCTCGGAGGAATGTATTCGCGCATCGGTCGAATCCGCGCTGCACTTAAACCAAAGCGCGGCTGAAAGGGCACAAAACGGCAGAGGCGACGCAGTTGGCCGCAATGGCGATAGATAGTGAGATTTGGGCATAGCGAGCGGCACAATACACGCTCGCGTCGGGCCTTCAGAAAATGAGATACGATAGGTAGGGTGAGAGCACGAAGGGGTTGAGGAAGGTGAGGCAGGGGGAGAGGGTGAAGCAGGAGGAAACCGGGAGAGGGGCCTATCACTCGGCTAGATCCAATACAATGCGAACTATTGTACCCACGTTCGCCATCCACTCCAATTCCTGGCGTGGAGATATGCAGCCGAGTCGGGGCAGGGGGAGGGGGATTGCACTTCACGCGGGGGTGGTACACGCGTACGACTATATATAGGAAGGTAAGTGTGCGAGAGTCGGAACTAGGAGAGGCAGAGAGAGAGTGAGAGAGAGAGAGAAAGAAATTTATTCAGTTCAGCGAGTAGTTTCCTGAAGCGTACTACAAAAATTAAAATGAGGTAGAAAGAAAAGAGGATTATGAAGATAAATGTATTTATCCAGATTATATAAATATTACGAAATAAATAAAACAAATTTACATATATATTTTTGATATCACATTTATCAGAAACATAGAGTATATTAATAAGTCTATAAATTATATCTGTAAATTAATTATAAGTTAAGACAATGTTTATATTAGATTGTCATAAATACAGCGACAAGCTTGCTAATATATATAATATAACAGTAATCTAATGTACTTTTTAACGTTTTTTTACTTCCAAATTTTTTTATAGAACTATACCGTAATGATAAAAATGTTAGCAAAACTTTGCTATAGTAATGATAAGTAAGATTTAAAATGAAAGAAATTGAAATAAGGAGACAAAACGAAATACAGAGGGAAATACAGAGCGAGGCAATAAACAAGAATAAAGAATAAAAAAAGAGTACAAGCGTGGATAAGAAGTAAAGCTTCAAGAAACAGAGAGAAACATGAAGCACGACTCAAGAGTAGAAAGAGAGAGAGAGAGAGAAAGACAGAGAGAGAGAGAGAGAGAGAGACTGAGGTCAAAGATACAAGGGTGATGAAAATGGAACTACAAAGTAATGCGGGAATAAGAAACCTTAGAGAAGGAAGAAAACGGCAGAAAGCGACGACTACTGTATAGCGGGATAGAGTATCTTGCAGCAGCGGACGAAAGAGGAGAAGAACTAAAATGGCAGAAAGAGTATAAGAGGGAAAGAGCATTAACGTTTCTCTTTTTTCTCCCTACAATTCCTCTTTCTGTGCCGGGGGTGCAGCCGGCCAGCGAGAAACGTGCCACACTATCCCAATCTCTTTCTCTCTCGGCCGTTCTCCATAATTTAAAGTAATTTCGCAGCGCGGTACACGAGTAACCGCACGTTAATACCCCTTGCCTGCCCCGCCGCCCGGACCACCCTGTCTGTTCTGCGCCACCGTTACCGCTCGCCCTTGAGCAACGTATGCAGTGCGGTCACGTTCCCGGGGAAATCATGCCGCTGCCGAAAATGAATTGTTATTACGACGACGATGTAGTGTCAAGTGCAACCCCGGGGGTCGATCTACGGCTCGCCACCCGACCCGGGGTGTCCATTCCCGCGTGATGCATGGGCTATGCCCGGGATTTACGCGGTCCGGCGGTCACGTCCACGTAAAATTGCCGACAGCGAGAAGAAGACGAAGGTACTAAATGGTCCCGTGGATTATTGACGCTCGATGAGGTGAGAGCGTGCGCGGAAAAAATCGAGTCTCCTTCCCCTCGAATCCAAAGAGATCGGTTCATCATGATGAACAGCGCCGATCGTGGTTCACCGCGACTCGATCTTTGCACCCACCGCGAAGCGAAATCGATATTTCACGGTTAACGAGGGTTCATTTGACCGTCGCTGCTTATTATAATGAACGAGCCCGTATATCTGACCACGAGGAAGGGGGGGAGATCGGAGACGGGCGGAGGGGAAGGATCGGCGGTCAACGGAAGGGCCGTCGAGTCAGAGCAGAAACGGCCCAGCGAGTGGGACGTCCGAAGGGAGAGAGAGGAGACAGGCGTTTACGTGCGGCAGACATCCGATGATGCATAGTTGCTGTTGACATGCTGGAACGTCAGGCTCACATGACCTCTCGAGCGCAGCCATTATCCACAAAGCGCAATCCCACCCCCTCTCCTCCGCCGCCTCCCCCGGCCGACCCCTCTTCCATTCTCGTGCCTGTTGCCCGTCCCCTCTGTCCGTCGAATTGGGACAATAACCGCTCCGCGAAGTCGTGTTATAATTATTGGCCGGTTTTCGCGAGTCCACCCCTCGTTACAGCGCGTTTTGCCCCTCGTTAATTGCGCAATAATGCCACTACCGGGCAGCGCCTCTTCGCCGTCGCTCTCACCCCTCCACGCTCTTCTCCGGTTCTCCGGCCTGGGAGAGGCCGCGTCGACACGGGGGTTACGCAAATTTGTAAAATGCAGTTTTGCAACACGCTGTACCTCCGCCAGTCCGGGGTTGTCCCCGGCTGACGTTTTCGCCGGACTTTATTTACGCGCGTTCCGCGGTTCAGATTGATAATGTTACCCCGGACGCACGCGACTGATTGGAAACGTACCAGGTTGTGGAAACGGATGCTATCCGAGTGGGCGGAGATTTGTTGTATCATTGTTTTAGACCGTTGTTTTATCGTGCGTACCTAGCTGCTGTTTTATTAAATTGTTGAAAAAATATCGATTCTCCATTCGGACCATCCTTTACAGACGACCGCAGATAATTGAATTAATTCAGTCGAAATCCTTGTGAAATTATAGTATATCCCGCGGGTTTATGAAAAATACCATTCCTTTACGAGCGGAATCGTTTAAGAAAGTCAAAAGCCCGTTCATAAAACAAGTAACTCGAACGTATTGAATTTGGTGTAATTGTATATATATCGATTTTCTTGTCACATTCCACAATAAACAGATTACAAGAGATTTTGCACAAAAAAGAAAAAGATATAAACGTACCAAGAAGCGACGCGTTTCAAAAATCGATGTAACAGCTCTTCCCCGCAACGCAACTTCCGTTCTTTTCGACCGAAAGGCTCGCTTGTCAAGCGGCGCGGTGCCCAATGAAAATCGCGGGATCGATGATAGAGCGAATATGCATTAGGGGGGAGTAACGCGACGCGACGCAACGCCCGATTACGTATGCAACGACGCGACACGCGCGTAATTTCGTCGACGACGTACCTGGCGTGAATGCCGTCGATCGACCGCGCGACTTTGCGCAGCGGCCGAACACGCCGCGATTGTTGTCGCATTGTGTATGCTTGCCGGTGGAGGTAGAGATCCGTCGGCGCTCCGTGCAGACCTCGCTTGACGCGGCGATTCGCCGCGGTATCGGACCTAGCGGGCTAATTGTTTTATAGCGAGACCGCGGGTGATTGCAATTCCCTCCGCCGATATCCGGGGATCGTACTTGGCGGCAATATCGCAATCAGCTAGCGTGTTGCCGGAAATCGTGCCGCGAATGTCATTGTCACGTGTCAGTTATCACAGATAACTGACAATTTGATGTTTGATCCCTATAATGACGCGCACTCTGTGATGCTATTTTACATCATCGCGCGATCGACATAACACGCGACCGATCTCCGCAAATACTGCAGAGGAAACTCTCCACAGGGAATATTATGTGGAGCGGAAAGAACCGTTCTATACAATTATATGTTTAACTTTCAATCTTTTTTTTTCTCTAACAGAGAGCAATATCCGTCCCCATATTGCGCAAGTGACAATGAGGATGGAGCGAGACTCCTGGCATTTCATTCTATACACAAGCAAACGTTCCGAGCGCGTGGCTGTGGAGACCACTCGGAGATCGCGAGTTGGATGTCTACGATTATACGCGACTCGGTTAACCCGCGTGTCTTCGGTACTCATTCGCGGTATTAATCAAGCTCCTGATAGCGAGCGCAATTTCACGGATCGCGGAGAAATCGGTTTCTCGTTGAGAAACCCGCCCCGCAACGCGGATGCCTCGACGCGGGCGCGCAAATCGCACGATTTCGGCGTGCGTTTTCCAATCAACGATCGCCCCGCCGCGCCGCGCCGTCGGCGCTGACGATCTAATTAAAGCTCGCACGCGAAATTCCGCGCGTTCCACGTGTAATCGGTTTAAATGTTTGCGCGCACCGCACGGCACCGCTTAATTCTAAGCGGTCTCATCGCCACGAGAGGGAAAGCGAGAGGGAGAGGGAGAGGATGAGAGAGTCGCGCGGACATACCTTGAGCGTATATATAAATCTCCGCCCCGCGCGCGCTTATTTACGCGCGTCGTGAATATGCATTTGTCTCAAGACGCGGTAATGAACCCGGGCAGCGCGCGGGCAGCTAGTTAAACAACTAATTAAAACACCGTCGCGAAATTGATCGTCCGCAGATTATTATTTCAGCGGCCGACGAGCAGAAATGATTAATACACTCCGCGCGCGTAAGCTCGGCGGAGCTCAACAAATTGTGTGAGCGTATATATCCTCTTACACAAGTTGCCTTATACAGATGTACCTAGTTGAAGTTCGGAGTGTTCTTGGAGCAAGAATTAAAATGTGATTTGTGCCAAAAAGTACAAATGCGGGAACAATTTCTGAGACCACTGAGAGTAAAAAAAAATATTTCATTCAGATTCGAGATGCGGAAGTGCTCTATTCTGTCAAAAGAAGAATCGCATATAGTATGCAAATATAAGAGATTAAAAATAGTTATTAGCTCTTCCCGCGCTTTGTGCCAAAAAGTAAGGGAAGGGGAGACAAATAGTGTCACTTTCAATTTCTCCTCTTTCCCGCGTCTATTTTACCACTTGTTAATAGAAAGACAGTTCTCAAGCATCTTTTCATCAATAATCTTCTGAAAAAGCCGTAAAAATCAAAAGCCAAATATACTAGCGGAAAAGTTTAAAAATTTTGCATTTGTGAAATAAGGTCAAATTTGGACTTTTTTTATATTTTCTTAATTACTGAATTATTGAATGAGATCTAAACGTATATTCTACGTCATACAGTACCTTTTTCCTCTTTTTGAATATAATTCCTATGTTTGTATATTAATTTTCTCTCAGTAAAGTTTTAAAGGAAAAAGTAGCTCCTGGGGCAAATAATGACAATTTTTAGTTGGGTAAATAATGACAAGTCAAAAAGCTTTTTTAATATTTGAATATAATTTTTCTAATTTATTTGGGATAATGTGAGATTAGTTACAAGACAAGATCCAGAATAAATGTGATTTTTAATAAAAAAAATACTAGCAAATAATGTTATTACTATTATTTATTAACAAATAAAAATTTACATATGGTAGAGTAAAGAAATTAATATAAATTACCTTATTTAATCAAAATGTCAAAAGAAAGATCGACTAAGAATTAAGAATTAAGTTTGTAATTGTCCCATATAGGGTATCACTATTTATCCATGGGGTGAGGCAAATAGTGACAAATGTAGATTTCAATTTTTATGAAAATTTAGCCCGTATACATGACTTATGGAAACTCTAATTAAGTTTTATATATTTGAAAGTGGAAAGTACTCTTTTAGTGAAAAATCATATCTCGTAAATTTGAAATTAGCTCGTAGGGGAGAGAGGAACAAATCCGCCACTATTTGCCCCCCCCCCTTTCTTTACAAATACGGGAAGCTCCTGACAGTAAAAAGAAATAGTTTGCTTAGATTCAAGATGCGGAAGTGCTCCGTTTAGTCGAAAGGAGCATATACACAGGATACTTCTGCATCTTGAATCTGAGCAAATTATTTTTTCTTTACTGTCGGGAATCTCAGAGAGTGTTCCCGTGCTTGTACTTTTTGTCACAAATTAACAAGAATTAATAACAATTTATATTCACATACATGTATACGTGTTATTACTTCTTGCTGAACGGAGTATTTCCGCACCTTGAATCTGAACAAATTACTTTTTTCTCTCTCAGTGGTCTCAGAAATTGGTTCCCGCATTTATATCCTTTTAGCACAAATCACATTTTAATTTTCGCTTCAAGAACGTTTCAAAATTCAATTACATTTATACAGATTAAAATATTTCTCGATGAATAAATAAATGATACTTCCGTAATGAAAATGTTATCGAAAAAGACATAAGACAGAACAAATTGTTTTATTAAATTTATTTTGACACTCAATTCCAGAATTAATATAACGTTCATCCAACTTGTTGGAAAATTCTATCAATCTTAATGTGTCCGGATTGTAACTACGGGCGTTAAATTGATGCTACAAAGTAACCGTAAACGCTATCGTCGTTAAGCAGTTAAGTGCTCCCGCATAAAATATTGATAGTGCCCGATATCAGCACTCTTTTTCATAGCCGCATATTGAAATGATAACGTGCGTTATCTGCTAATGCGATATCTGTCAGTTAGGTTGGCCGGCTGGTCCTATTTCGACGTATTAAATCAAAATTGTGTCCATGGGTAATACGGGTTCTAATGAGAACGCTATTTCGGAGAAGGCCCTCGACGAGTACGTCGAGCTGACGTACTTAAGCAAGAGTGAAATTCGTCAGTGCGTGCATATACTTGATTCATATACATGTCAATGGAACACACGTCAACGAGCAATTTGGAAAGCAATCTGAAAGTCACTCTATATCGAGATTAATTTTCTTTTTTTACAGCATTTCTAACAATTTTTTTTATAAATACGTACAATCGTTTTTATATATGTAGCCTCTATCTTCTATGTTTTATTTATGTTCGGATAAATATAATAACTCTCAATTAATTTATTTTAATACATATATTTATCTAACTAACTTATCGTTGTCAGGATTTATAAGCTTCTCGACGATTTGGAACCAGGTGTTCTTAAACAAAATCTTCATTATCGTTTTTCTATGGAGCAAATCAACAAAATTCTTCCGCAGATTCGCGTAAGCTCTCTTAATTTTTATTTCATTTTTTTACTATTTGTCATTCTGATACACATTTTTCATTATTTGAAGAATTATTTTACAACTAAATTAAAATCGCGTTTTGAAAGAACGGTGTTAAAAAAAGTTCCGATGGCAAAGAGCATTGGATTATCACGGTATACAACGTTTTCGTTAGCTCTAAACATCGCGTATATTGCGCAGCAATAAATCCTTCTTAAGCGATGGTAAGCTGCTACCATTTTTTCCCTGCGAGCTAGAAATTTCGTTATTTACACGAGGCAATGATTAACTGCGCGCGATGCAAGGAACGAAACATATTGTGTTTTTCAAATATTATATATGATATCTCAAGACTGCCGTTCTCATTGATCAATATTAATTATTAAAATTTTACTTAAAAATTATTATTTTAAAACCTTAAATTATATAACATTATTAAGATACGTTTCTTGATAGTATTTATAACAAGCAAGAGTGAATTGAAAATTCTTAAATGACTTGAAAAGGAGAGTGATTTAAATGTTCTCATTTCTTTATGTGATTTATTCCTCAAGAAAGCACATAAAATACAGAGCGTGTGATATTTTCAGTACAATCCACTCCGTGACGCGATATATCGCGTATTCTCGTCGAAGCGGGACGGACGTTTGAGCTTCGAGGACACCCTCGACCTCTGCTCGGCATTCTCCGCAAATTGTCCGCGGGGCGTACGGGCTGCAAGGGCTTTTGAAATTTTCGGTAAGCTCGCGGACACAATTGAATCTACATCCGCGGGTTTTTGTGTGCGCAAAAGTCTAACTTTCGTTCCCGGCAAATATTTGCCATCCGCCAATCCTACACGCTCATTAAACATACTCGCCGAACAATGCCTCAGTCGTCAAAAATACAATTATAAAACTCTGTTGTTTGCTCTGGGGGAAAAAATATAAGTATTTCGACGGCAGCTTTCTAGAAGTATACACGTACACATGTCACCAAATGCGTGGACCATTTTGGACGAAATGTGGCAGTTCAACTTAAAGGCTTCCTCAACAATTCATTGTGTCCTTTATATTTTATAAATAGTCGGTAAATATAGTTTGAAATAATTTGTAATTTGTCAAAGCGTTCCAGTATACAATGCATTATAAATAATTATGATAATGTGCAAAAGATACAAGCTCGCAGGCCGTCGTCGAGTATTCGCGTCATAGTAAACGGCGATTCGCAGTCGATTTCGTTAATCAGGATCGTTTAATTTCACGGAGCCACGTCAATTACCGTAGAAATGGAAACGCGCTTTCGCAGCAATCTGCCGATGCAACTGCGACTTCATTCAGATAAATTGGATCGTGTTATGCAGTATGGAAAGTGTCATTTTGTGCACGATCTTCAGTCAAATCCGAGAGATATGATCTATCTTCCATTATTTAAACTTCAAATTTATTTCCTTGGTTTATAATAAATGTCGCTTATTTTGACACTACGTAATATGACACGATCTGATGTAACTGATGGAAAACAAATTATATTGAATAACGACACTAATTACATATTTGTAGCATTAAAAAATTTATGAAAACTTTTTATTTTTATTTCAAAATTCGAAGCAATATGTTTCAAATTTAATTAAACAGGAATAAATAATATAATTTTAATCAAATAGGTCAAATGATTATTTAGCTTAATTAATGTGTCGTGTAAAATTATTTTAAGTTTATCTTAAAAAATGAAATTTTAAAGCAATATATCGAAAAATATTCTATTTTCCACTGTACAAGAGATAGCAAGATAATTCTTTTCATTCTGCACTGATTTCAGACTTTATCTATTGGCGATATACCAATTTCGTTCGTCTACATTATATATATATATATGCACACGCGCGTACTCGTCCGTTTCGAGTGTGTGAACGCAAACCATGCCGATCATCTTCATTTCCAGATTTCGACGGCGACAATCAAGTCTCTCTCGACGATCTGATCGAAACGGTGCGGAGGCTGGCCGGCACGGACGAGCATGGACAGGCCCGAATCGATCGGCAATGCGCGGAGGACGTAGCGCGAATGGTCGGTGTGCATTCCTGCTGTGCGTCCTCGACGCAACTACAAAGGACGGAATCGGGAAGCGATTAATCCTTTTGCCGAAAGCCGAGAGGCCGCTTTCTATTGCAACAAATTTCCGGTGGCCGTTGCTGGTTCCGCGGTAGAAAGTAGGTGAATTGAAAGGAACTGCCTTCTGCGCGCGCGAGGAGAAATTAATTCTGTAAAATTGCACTCGCGCTATCTTCAAAGCCGGGAATCGCTTCTAAAACTCTGTGAACTCTCTCTCTCTCTCTCTTTCCTCTGTTCTTTTAACAAAAAAAAAAAGGATTATTTTTACATTCTACTGTGAAATACAAAACGCTCTCTCTCTCTCTCTCTCTCTCTCTCTCTCTCTCTCTCTCTCTCTCTTTCTCTCTCTCTTTTAATAATACCCTCTCTTTTTAAGATAGTACAAATTTCTCAGATTTAATCTATATAAAGTACAATTTTCTTATTCCTTTTTTCTTTCGACTTAATTGGAAGAATATTCTTTTTAGCTCACCTACTTTTTGCAAAATCGCAATGACCACCGCACATAATTAATTCATGATCATGTTCAATGACTTTTACTCTTTCAGATAATGCAAGAAATGAACCTCTCTGGCACAGGCGACATTACACCGCAAGAATTTATATATGTGCTCTCTAAAATGCCAGACTTCGCACACACATTCCAATTTAATATTATTTAATTTAACAAAACTCTCGAGCATAAACTCTCTGAAACTAATTTTTTAGTACTATTTTGTAAAGAAAATTCTTAATTATAAACGGAATTGAAGAAAAATTTCTTTACATGTCTATGTTACGATTATCCTCCAGGATTTTATAATCAGATTTTATTTTAGGTATTGTATTATATTATAGTTTTGTTACATTATATTTGTTAATTCTTCTCTCTTTCTCTCTCTTCTCTCTCTCTCTCTCTCTCTCTCTCTCTCTCTCTCTCTCTCTCTCTCTCTCTCTCTCTCTCTCTTCTGCAGAATATCGTAAATTTATAGCGATATATTGCATAAATACATTGCAGCATAATAAATCGCTGCTATATCCGATCATGATTAACTAATATCATCATATTTCAAGTTAATTTATATCATCGTTAAAATTTCAAATTCTGTCATTCTTCGTACTATAACTTTCGTAATATTTTATTAATTTTATTGATTATTTCTACTTCTTTTTAAATCTTTCAATGTTGAAATTTTTAATATAACTCGCTTTAGCGTAACTTGTAAGCGATTATAATATTAACTTAATTTGTTACTTGATAAACATGAGATAATTATAAATTAATTTTAATTCTTCCGAAAAGTTTTTCATAATTTTTCATACAACTTATATTAAATTTTAAGAGGATTGGGAACAGCACAAATATAATATACATATTTGACTATAAAATTATTCTATAAATATATTTTTAATTATCAAATTGCGCAAGATAAAGTAAATTTAACAGTCGAATATATATTTATATGTCTATATAAAAAAACATAGTATTAATAAATAATAAAATAAAATAATTACTTCAATGATCAAAGAGTATTTATTACAAAATTAAATTTCATATAAAAATACTTGTTACTTAAATTTCAGACTAAAGAATTTTAAATACGATTATCTAAATTGAGTCCCTTTTTTAAAAATAGAAACTATTTAATTTCCAGATTGAAAATAGTTTTAGATTTCATGCTTTATAATTTTCATTGTATGTACAATTTAGACACCGTATCATATTTAGGCTATAATATTAAATCATCATAATAAAATCAGTACATCACTGATTTTTTGATTATCGCCTGTGTCGAGATTCGGTTTTCTCGTCTTTGAATCTTGCCTTTTCTTTACAATTTGAAGTCGGATAGAACTAGAAGTCGGATCAGGAAATTTATCATACTTGGCATGTCCTCCGAAGCCATCAAAACTCACTGGTCCATTGGCGGACTTCTAAAATAAATGTAAGACAATTATAAAAATTGTGACAAATACAGATATAACGTTACATCAAATATAAATGTAAAGCAGCTCACTTGACTCGGTTGATTTAATCTTGATTTTTTCACAAGTGTCGAAGGTATTTTCAAATTGTTACTAGATTTCTGTCTTTTCATACCATGATCCCTCATTGAAAAGAAGCCCTGTGATTTTATGCTTTGCGGGGTATTCTCTAAGCTAGTATCCTGTAATAATATCCTGGCGTTAATATCAAAAATAACTTTGGTAATTAATGATGCTACAGTTAAACGCAATAGTTGTAATTTACTCACTGAATCTATAATGATGCAACTGTCACTGTTTTTGAGTTTAAAAGAGTTGTCAAGTTTTTCCACACTTCGTCGTCTTTTTGTTAACTCAGGAAGTTCTTCTACGATCTGCCCATTTAAGCTTTCACATTTTTCGGTGTTTACTTTATTACAGTTGCATTGGTGTGCATCTGTATGCATATTAAAAAGCGTAGTCTGCAAAGATATCTTCTCACTTTCGCAGATCAGTAATCGTTCTTCCAGTTCTCTAAAAAATACATGATTATACATGATATAATCTAAAGCAATAATTCTAAAGACAAATGATTTTACATATCCAGAAAATTATTTACTTTCGTTTAACGCTTTCCTGTGATAAGAATTCGTTTTTATTACAAACACTCGTATATTGTTGCTGTAAGTTCTTGTATCTCTCCCTAATCTGTTTGCTCTTCTCGGAGCTGACTAACAGTTCTCTGAAACATTCAGAATTCAATCCATAATAATATTATTACTGTATCTCCAGAAATATCAAATATACATATAGTTTGTAAATATAGAATACCTTTTCAACACTGTTATGTAGGTTTTAAGTTTCGACGTATCATCTGTCGTTGCTATTATGTCATCTACTTTAGGTACAGAAGAATCTATGATAGCCTGTACGCTGAAAATTGACATTTAATTGCAGGATTATATACAAGCTTGAAAATAGCATCTCTCTCTCAAACGAATACTAGAATAAATAAAAAAAGCCATACTTCTTCAAATGTTCTACTCTTTTCTTCAACTCTTCAATTTCTTTCTTAAAATTGTCTACTTCTGAACATTGTTGTTTGAAAAATTTGATCTGCTGTTGAAGCGCATAAATCGCACTGCTCTTCCCATTTATTTCGCTTTCAACTTTTAAAACTTCTTGTCTTAAACCAGCTGTTTGCTTCTTCAATTTTTTATTGGCCTCTGTAAGATTATTGAGATTTTCGTCTTTCAACTTTATCTGGAAAGCCATGTTATCAAGTTTATGCTGTAAAGACGTGGCATCTTCTGCAATGGAATCATTGTTTGAGAAGTTGAAATATGTCCTGTGTATCTTCTGTTCGGTTGTCCTTTCTCGACATTGTGGGCAAGTCTTTGATCTGAAACAATTCCACAGATGAGGTTAAACAGTTTCGTGTGCAAGCAATAGAAAAAACTTTCGGGAGTTACATAGGCAGTGTTCCAAAATTCACTGATAGTGCTGAAAATCTATAGGTCACGTAACGTAAACTATAGATTTTTTTCAGTGCTAGCAGTGAATTTTTAAACACAGCCATAAAAGCTTCTTTAACTAATAGACAAAGAGAAAGAATTGAGAAAATGTAGAAATCTTTGATGCACTTCTCCAAATCACCTTTCGAGCCACTGGATTAAGCACACATAGTGAAAAATGTGTCCACAAGGTGTGTGGAACACATCGCTGGATGGTTCCAGCAAATCGCTGCATATCACGCACACTATATTCATTTTGTTGCTGATGGAAATGCCGTTGATGGAAATTCGGTGAGAATCCTGCTTGTGACTGACAACTAGCCTAGTCAGAGAGGATCCTGGTACTCCTAGTAGATGATCGTTGCAGAACTCACTATGAAGCTCTCGTGATATTTTGCCGAACGTTATGTCATTGCGAACTCTTTAGCCACATCATGCACAAATTGAAAAACATTGGAATGTTCGGCTGTACGAACTAAAAAACCATTGTGATCAATCTTTATAGTCTCCGAGGACTCCGAACAAACAGCGCAAGGCATCCAAAGTTGTCTAAAGAATGACTTTTGATTGAAATTTGAAATATAAGGCTACGTTCGGTTGGACCACTGAAATAATAATAATACTGGAACGCGCACGGGCGGCGGGCGCTAGTATCGTAATCCGACAAAGAGGCTCCTAAGTGGTATCTGTGTCTCTTTCTAATACAATCTGGCCAAAAGTTTTATACGGCAACATCTTTGAGTGTATAGATACCTGGAGGTGGAATGATGTTCTCTGCAGGCCGCGAGCGAGTCCAAAAGTGGCAAGGAGTGCGAGAGAGAAAGGTATACGAGCGATACCACGTGATACTTCGTCCTCTCTGTCTGTTGAATGATCGACGCATGCGCAGAGAGGACGGACATTACTCGTCTACCTTTCTCTCTCGCACACATCTTGGACAGTTTTTGAGCCAACGTGCGCGGCGTGCGCCGTCGTCGTAGCCGCCGCGAAAGAGGAATGGTCACGACCTTTGACAGTCAAAGGTCACGACTCACGGAGAACGTGCCCGACGCTCGCGGCTCGCCGACCGTTCGTAGTATTTTTTTTCGTCGCGCGAAAGCTATCGTGAGTCTCTTCTTCCGTCGCGAGGTTTCTGCAACGTTCCCCGATGACCCCGGTATCGATTCCGCGTGAAGGACCACCGAGGCCTCCTCGCACGCATCTCCGGCGTCCAGTTCCTCGACTCGCGAGAGAAGCGAAGAGAGAGAGAGAGAGAGAGACTGGGGTCTGTCTCTCTCACAGCGAGAAACCTTCGCCATGACCTTGCGAGGACATTTTCGAAACGTTTTCCCCACCTCTTCGGGGCACAGCATCCCTGATCCGCGCGCCGGTGGGACACGGTGGGATGCTACATAGAGGCGAGCGGTGGCAACCTTGTATGGACTATTCGCACGAGTGAGTATTTAGATAGATTGTTTTGCTATAGATTGTGTCGCACAGAAATGTTCAATCAGCTGACGAGACGCTGCTAGATCTAGATAACAGTTTGACACGATTATATCGATGTGTATCGTTTGAAATTGCGATTGTAAGAAGGCTATATTATATGCTGTTATTATATAAGACAGAATTATGTCTGTCCAGTTATCAAATAAATATAAACAGTTATCAGGTGTAATTTTATGTGTTGGCATAGGAAAAACATAAGCCTTACTCCGATTATTAGAAATAAGAAAACTGCTCTCTGCGTGTCTTATGTCCATTTCTATCAATGTAGATTAACTTTAATCTCGGTTTAACTTAATTGTTGTCTTTTTCTAGTTCTAAGAATTAGAAGAAGATATAAAATAAATTCAACCGAGATTAAAGTTAATCTACATTGGTAGAAATGGACCTTAATATGAGAAAAGCAATTGTCGTAAAAGGGATTTTCTCATATTCAGGGTATCCATCCCAAAATAATAGGAAAATAAGCATTAAATTTATTAGCATATATCATAATATAAATACATTCTTAAGACGAAATTATTATTTTCAATAATGAAACATACTGTCAAAATAACAACAAAAGAAAATATAAGATTAAAGATTAGTTTGCTATAAAAAAAAATTAAAAACATAACAGATCTATATTATCTGTTTGCAAAATCTATATAAACCTTACATAATTTTTAATTTTTTCTTGATGAGATTCTTGGATTTAATCGTTTTTTAATCGATCTTATGACTTTTGGTTTAGGTGGCTGAAGAGAGAGAAGAAAATAAGCATAGAAATGAGCAAAACACCCCATACGGCGAGTATGGTGGTTGGCATAAGGCCGCGAAGGTGGAGTCTCCTACCGTCACTACTACTTTAAAGAATCTCGATGCCCTTTTGAAGACAGGGTAAATACGAAGCCGCGGAAACGCTCGAGGATTGCGCCATGAGATCTCGGAGAGAGGTAGATAATTTGTATATCAACTCTTTTGCCAAACGAATATACACAGGAATAATTGCAAATAATAATAACTAACAATATTTTTTATATTTCGCATACGCAACACGTTCAACAACTGAGTAAAAGCTTTTTAGCACTGTTTTGAAATCTTACATTATCCTTACACATTGCAAAGTTACACACAATGTTTATTTTTTCATCTGCGTTAAAAAATTCTTTTTTGTATAATTTTTATTTTAATTCTAAATTTAATTTAAATTAACGTAGTGTTAACTATCATGTGTAATAATGACACACATATTATGCACATGGCCGAACAAAAATTCTTGATTCTTGATGGCCGGATAAAATTTCTTTCTTCAAATTATACATGTATAATCTATTCATAAACAATATTATAACAATTAATAATTATAAAATAAAAAGCTTGTGATTAAAACTTCTTTATTAGATTTAGAATGAATCTATAGTTTAAGACATTGGCAATCAATATGTTAATTTTAAATATTTAGATTATCAAGTATTAAAATTATATAAACTTGCAAATTAAAAAAATATATATAAACAATTAAAATTAATAACATATACATATATGCAATAAAAGTATATAGACATATATGTAATAATAATATATGCAAAAGTAATACAGAAATTGATTGAATTTGATTGAATTAGTTACGAAAAATGTATCCATAGAATAACCATTTGTTTTTATTTTACAGGCATTAGAGCTAGTGAGGAAATCTGTCCCACCTGTGGTACAGACGCTGCTGGGCGACGAGAAGAGCTCTACCAGACGTGCCTCGCGATTCAGCCTGGCGAATAGCGAACATGAACAAAATCACGAAGAGGTAAGTCTGCTTTTCTCCCGTTTGTCATTTCGACGTATAAATTAGTCGTATGCTATGCAGTAGCCGACACAGACTTATTAGCCGTCTACTATCAATTTCTTCTTTCTTTTGTTGTTTTTTTTAGTTTCATCCCGTCGTCCGTCACATCCGGCATAACCTGATCTAACCGAATTCTGGCCGAATCTCATTGGCGACCGCACACGCACGCATACGAACGCAATTGAACGCAGGCGAACAATCCGCTATCATTGGTGCAAAAGGCACTACATGAAGTACAATCAACGGTGAGCAGTGGCCAGCATCAACCTGACGCTAGTCCTAACAAATCCGGATTTAAAAACAAGATCTTCCAAGCTTTTGGCATTCATCGTCATCTACATAAACCGAGTGAATACAATTTTCCGTTTTCTCGTTAGCTTCTATTCCGCCTTCAATTCATCAAGTCCGTTCTCTTCAGCTGTGTATCCCTGTATTTTTTTTCTAAAAGTTTTTATCTATCCTCTTTTAATCTCTAATACTTTCTTATAACACTTATCTCGTCTTATTGTTGAATGCAGAAAGAAAAAATATATTTTAAATATGTATATACACACACATATCTATGTATATATATATACATGTATATATATATAACGTACTGCAGCTAAAGAGAACAGATCTATTTCACCGTGTTCTCATTCGTCGACGATTTTTTAAGGACGATATCATTGCATAAATAGATGTACTTCTGGGGGATGAGCGAGGACTTTAAAATATACTGTCTTTCTTCTTTCATATTTAATACACTTATAAGCAATTCGTATCAATCGATTGATTTCTGAATATCTTGATTTTTGAATATCATAAGTAAAAAATTGATAAAGTATTAAAATTAATTGATCAAATTTTTAAAATAGAATATTAAAATTAAAAATGTTAAGATAAAGTATTAACAAGATTAATTTTAACATCTGTAAACTCACAGTTACTTCTGGATAATATATTAAATTACATGAGGTGGTTCATAGTTATTTTTTTATACAGATTAAAAAATATATTAAAAAGTTAGATATGAGTGAAAGTACATATGTCAGTTCGTATGAAATTGTATCTAATTGTAAACAATGTGTAAGTCCCGAATATGCTCCGAATAGAACGCATCTAACTATCATGTGATAAAGCGTCACGTTTAGTATAAATGAATTCCTTCCAAACGAATCACCCAATAGAGAATTAATCTTAAACCGATTTGCCTTAAACCGATCATAACGTTGATGATTTATTTTAAGAATTTTATTCATCCATGATAGTTTATGTTGAGAATTATATTCAATACACACATTTTATTGCACATTTTGTAAGGCTATTTGCCGTCGTTTCCTAAAATGAGCGGAAAACTTTAGTAACTGATTTTTAGAAAATGGCAGCAGGATGTTGATGTTTAATATGGCATTTCTCTTAATATGTTGATTACAAAATTGAAAACTTTTTTACGTATTTTAGTATTATATATGATTACAGGGTGTAATCACCGTTTTAATTGGAACACCTTGTATAAATTGCATTTACGTGAAACTAACTTTCCAGATAAATGCTTACTCACATATATTGTAAATGTAAGAAATAACTGGACCGGTTTATCTCTCATCTCATGCAAAATATAAATATCAACAATGCTTAATTATTTTGTCAACGCTGAATAAAATATCGATAAATACAAATATTAAAATTTTGTTTTCATCACAAATAAAATTATTCTAAAAATAATACATAATTATATAATTAATTTATTTCTATAGATGATACATATTTTATGCTATATAATATTTACAATATTTACATAAATATTATAAATAAGCATTGATACTTGCTCACAGTTATAATTAAGTTAAAATCAATAGACAGAATATTTTTTTTATATCGCTCTAATGGTCTCTGGTAATCATCGAAAAATATCGCTATCTGTTACCTACTATCACCTCAAATAACTTTTTGAACAAATATTGTAATTAAAAATAATTCAACAGAAACATAATTTATTTTGCAAAAGAATCTCATTAGCAAATTTTCTTCAAAATTGTTACAAGTTTACACCTCTGTTTAGATATAAAAATCATTGTCTTTGAAATATTACATTATAATTTAGAATCTTCTTCCTGCTTACAAGAAGTATCAAATTTGACACTTTGCACAGTCTTCGCCTGTTCCTCCAAGTCTCTCAGGTTCGGCGAGCTCCAGGTCTGACTCAAGATCTCGCCCACCGTGGGTATGCTGTCGGTGGTTCTTCTGCGGAACTTCAATGGTTTGCCGGACAGCCTCGGTCGCCAGTGGATACCCCTGTTCTTCCTGGAATCGCTGCTCGACCGATCTCGCCTGGTCACCAGGTACTTCGGAGAACTCTTGACGCTCGAATGACTTGGTTCGCCGCCGATCACGGACATATCGATCATCTCTGGAGTCGATGATTGCTGACAGGAGGTCTGCCTGCATCGAGACCGGTACGAAGGGCCATCGTCGTCATCTTCCTCAATGTCGTCGCAGTCGCAAATGTCCGATATGTTATCCACCTTCTCCTCGGCGAACGCCGAGTTCACGACGCCTTCCTGATTCTTCTCGCCCTGCGACGAGACGCTGGGTCGTCCGTCGGAATCCTCGACGGAGGGCCGACGATGTAGACTCTTGAACGAATCCTTCCTCCAGGGATCCGCGGTTTCAACGATACTTGCCGACGAGGGAATCGGCGTCGGAATCGACGCTACCTGAACGGGGCGCGAAATGTTCGCCGCGCTCGGCCAGGGGCGCAACACCGGCCTGGGCGATTTTGTCAGAACGCGAGACGCCGAGCTCCTCGCCAACGAGGAGAACTTCCGGACGGCCTCGACTATTACCCGTCGGTGCTCCGTTTCAGCCGGCGGTTGCTCTTGACCATCCAGCTGCACAACCGTTTCGGAACAATTGCGAGCCATCTTCGCAGGTGTTGAAGGGGACCCGCTGATCTGGCTGAAACAAACGAGTCTAACTTAATAGAGTTCCTCGAAGCTTGCCTTGATAATGAAACAACGATGAAGAGAAACTATAAAATATATATCTTGAGCATGCATATGCAAATGCTAATTTCTCTATGAAAAAAAGCCGTAACTTATCTAATTTTAACTTTTTAATTTACATAATTTTATGTAACTTTTTTATTTGAAATATTTAAACGTTATTTATAATTTGATAAAAAAAATAAAAACATATCAAAAGATACAGCTCGAGATTCTAGCTGTAACTCTTTATCGTTAAAACTATAATAGTTTATTTACATATCTAATTTTAATTCATAAGAATTGAGATATAACACATTAATATGCCCTTCAATTACAATCTTACCGCCTTTCGTTCACCGGACTATCGTTCGGGTTCGCCAAACTGGCGGTGGAAGTGCGAGGCGTCAGAATTGTCGTACATTCCTCGTCTTCCTCCAAAATTCCGGGCAAGAACATCATCTGTTTCTCCTCGGGTACCCTGAAAAGACCAAGGAAAATCAATAATTTGTCATAGAATCATTCTATGACAATGATTCAAAATCCGTTTCAAGGTTTTCATGGATCTTACGGGACTCTCCGAATATTTAGAACTCGCGAGATTTTTAGAAACAATATTTTGCAATTAAAATAGGCTTGTACAAATTAGATATAAACTCTAATCCGTTCTGGCTCGAAATGAATATATATAATACTAATAGTAACATATTGCGATGAAGTACGCATGTACGTGATACTAACATCATGTTCGCCACGCTACCGCGATAAGTCTTCTTCTTGTACGCCGCGGCCGCTTCCGTATACGGCAGGCTCACGTTTTCGGAGTCGTAGTAGATATCCTTGACGAGCGGCGGACAGCGGTTCATTAGCGTGTCCACTCCGAGATACGATACCTATAATATACGCGCATAAGTATATATGTGAACGCGATATTTCCGTATTCCTAAATTTTTCTAAACAAGTGCTATATATAATCGCGGTCCCCTACCTTGGCGTGACGATCGATCAGCCAATTCAGCTCGAAATCCTCATCGTCGTCGCCGAAAGGATTTATCAGCTGTTCGGCTACCTTCAACAGTCCCATAAAGAAGAAGAACTGCAGAATCGTGAAAATGGGCACGTATTTGTCTATCTTCAATTGAAACTGCTTCTCGACGCCCTCGATGTATTGTCGGCCGATTATGGCGACCGCGAAGAAACTGTAAGTGGCGAGTGTCACCACTTGGGTGTACACCAAAGGGATCGACACCCAGTCGTAGCTCCACAAGAGACCGCACTTCGTCCGAAACTCATTGAATTCCTACAAATCAGATTAACTTTGCACGAGAGAGGTCTTACCGATTAATTATCTTCGTTAGCATCTTTATCATATTTCTGGAAGATTTAATTAATTGCGATATATATAAGTATCAAAATGAGTGCTCAGATATTAGATATAATAGGCTGTAAAAACAAAATAAAAAATATGTATGTGCATCTTCTTTTTTTTATATTTGCTTACATATTCTATTCGCTAATTAATTCTTTGTATGTTTTTTAATTACTTGTGAAGAAAAGAAATTATCTCCAGCAATCCCGAGATATCCGTGCGAGCGCATAATGCGTTTGAGACACGCGTGCCTAATCGCGGAAAATAAAAATGTATAGTTGATAGACTGCGACACGGTTTACGACGCATTTCGAATCGGCTGTATACCCACATATACCGACTCGTTGTCACGCTAGCTAGACCATAAAATCTAACCGTTTCTTTAACCGATTGATTTTCTTTTTTGTGGGTACCAGTAGCCTAGTTTACATCGAGCATTTAATACGCGTACTAACTAGAAAGTTTCTATTAAATTATCTTAATTTCTACAATGCATTTAAAAAATGATGTACTAAACTGATACACTATATGCATTAATATGATTAATTAAATACATATATCATGTATAAGTTTATATGCATCGTCGAAATTAAGAAAATTTAATAGAAAGTTACTAGTTAGTACGCGTATCAATTAATGCTCGGTGTAAACTAGGCCAGTATACAATCATATCGTATCATGCATATAGTGCTTCACGAACAACGAAAGAACAGAAAATCGCAGATTATATACTTAATACGAATAATTATGTCTTCTAAAGAATATGATAATTTAAATAATTATTTTCTATTTTTTTGTTATGAATTTTAAGAAATAATAAAGCAAGCAATTTTAGATGATTTTAATTTCTTTTGTTTTAAAAAAGCGTTATATTTTTATCGATTATATAAAATAATTTCAAATAGCTAGAGGAAAAAAGTAACTTTTTTTTTGTTTTACAATGACGAAAATTTTCGTCAAATTATAAACAACGAGCGAGGAGAGAAGAACACGTGGAGTTCATTCGCACCTCCATTATTAGCTTTAAACCTTGCGCGTCGGATATCCGGTGGTTCTTGCGTGCCTCCTTGAGGAGATTAATGAACCATGTGCACGGTATCCAATAGGTGTTAAACTCGACACTCGGCACCGCCTGGTACAACTGGAGCTCCAGCGTGGTCATGAAGCCTGCAACAACTCGTTAATTTTTAATTGCCACCAAGACGACGGTAGCAGTCCCGGTACTGCAATTTACCGGAATCAACGACGTGATCGAGAGTGGGAAATCGTCTCTTCACCGCCGAGCTTATGGAACGTAGCACGAGTATCAGAGAGAGGTTTAGATAACGCATCAGGGCCCTGCGCAGCATCCGACTGTAATCGTCGTTTCCGGTGACGTAGAGCGCCACGAGATGCATCACCCTGCGAAAAGAGAAAAAGAATAGGGAAATTACGAAAAAGTTTATAAAATGAAAAAAGAATTATTCACTTTTTATTTTTGACAATTAGCTCTTGATATCATTTTCCAAACTTTATCCAAAAAAGAAAAAATATTACCTTCTACTGCCATTAGAAATTTAGAAATTTCAAATTTACCAAAAAATTCAGGATATCCTGCTTGATAATTGCATCCGAACTCACTTGTCGGGCCACGGTATCGCTGTGTATTGCTTCCACCATCTCTGCGCCACGTAGGACACATAAAATCCAAGCACGAAGCTCAGCGGGATCAGTTTGATCAAGGTGTCGCAGTAAATGACAACTTGCTCGAATTCCCTGTAACACGTTATATATTAAGCAACCTCCAATAGCTAATAAGAAAAAATTAATCAAGTTAAAATAAATAGAAGAATAGAGAATGGACAAACATATGTAAACAAACATTAGAAGAAATTTAATCATTTGTCATCATATATTTGCGTTTAATACTTTTAATAGAGGAAATTAATGCTATCAGATTAATTTATCTCATATATGTATAAAAATATATATCCAGATTTATTTAATGTATGTATTATATATTTAGAATTTTAAAATGTTGAAATGTTCACCTTTTTTGCGCGGTAGTGAAGACGTGACGATAGAGCGCGGACAAGACACCGAAGAGAATCAGAAAGAGCAGCAGTTCCCTGTAGATGAGCTTGTAGAGGGAACCGCGCCACATAAGCAGGAGCCTGGTGAATCCACCGCTGGTGGAACTGGCGACCTCGTACTGATAAGAGACCGTCATCTTTTATCCATTCAGGTGCACCGTGCCAGATTCTTCTCGAGAACGACGCGCTCGCGAGCACGTTGTTACTCATACTTCCAGAGGTTTTCGTCTGTCGAACCTGAGAGGGAAATTATACTGCAGTTGCAAACCGCGTTGCAAAACTTGTGTTCATTGTTGAAATTGTTGGAATATTCCAGGAGACTACGTTGTGTACAGCTTCTCTCGCGATATCCAAGTGTGCATTTACTTTAATAATAGATTAATGAATTAACTCGTTGTTGGTTAATAATAATTAGTTCTAAATTAATTTATAGAGCGAAATAATAGACAATGGGAAAGCCGCAAGGTCTCGTTTCAATACACAAATATTTGAGAATTTTATTTTTCGTGTTTCTCCTATGCAATCTCTATTTTAAGGTGGACTATTGCATCGAATGGGCTCGTATTCTGGTGCAGGATATAGATACAATCTATTTCGAGCTATCGCGAAATAACTGTCATGAAGAATGATTTTTCTCTTGGCCATTAATACAGTGTTTAATCACTTTTTTTTATGATTCTATATTTCTAATTTTACTATCATATGCCGAACAACGATTCGATTATTTTTTAAATCATAATAACATCAAATAAAAGAACTAGAAGAAATTTTTAAAAACTGGTGCATATAATTACACGAAAGATAAATTATTATTATTGCTGTGCGAATATGTCGCTATTTGCGACGTCTAATACGTAAACATCAACAGTTTTGTCAATAGTTAAACTTATTTCAGCACTTTTATGTCCTGTGAAATGCAACGAGATTCATTTTCTGGTCGCAGCTTGCGGCAGTGGACAATTTGTCTCATCGTAAAACGCAATTTCACAATTTTTCGCGAAGACATTGTGCGCGTCGCTTTCGGTTTTAATTTTGTCATAGAGTTAAGAGCCAGTTTACGATCGTTCGCAGCGCCAAACTTCCCGAACAGAGCGATCCGATCGAGAGAGATGCACTCAAGAGAAATGGCGATCCGCGCCCGAGGATCGTCCCGCGATGCAAAGTCGTCGTGATGACACGTCGCAGCACGCGTGATCGCATCATTCGCCAGAAATATCCGAACGGAATGCGAAAGTGTTTTAAAGTGCTGACTAAAAATGGAATGATCTAGGCCTAGATTCGTCCGATCCGTCTATATTTCTACGCTGTGCAAATAATCGGAGTCGCCGTAATTTGCGGTAGAGGAGACTCAACGAAGAGATAAGTTTCGACAATCGATAAAATCTTTTATAAGATTTCTAATTTGATAAATATTTAAATAATCAAAACATCCTCTATCAGCAAATATGGCAAATATACAATTTCAAATATTGCGATCGAAATAAAAACAATTAATATATCAAATAAAAACCATATTCGAAATAAAAACGATCGTAGCTTTAATTAAATTATTCATAAAAAGATATGTGATTTATATTTGTGTTAAAATTTAATTCCGTCCAGAAAAGAGTCTATCTCTTTTTCTATTTTTATCTTCCACTATTCGAGTCTTTTCCATTCTTATCGATTGCTTAAATTATATATTTCGCTATGACTATAAACTTGAGAATTCGTATCATTCTCGGCATTTTATTGACGCATATTTCGTCATAGTTATGAGCGCGACAGAATTTCGGATTCCACCGAGATATGACGTTAAAAACGGTTGCACGCGTCACAAGCGAAACGTCATTGCCAAACCGCGAGCCCGAGAATACCGGCGCGACGTGGTTGCATCCCTTTTTTTTTCTGTGTCTCCCTCACGGAAACTCATCGTAAATAATGTCTAGTTGTAATGTCTCTCGGGAATCGCGCCAGTAATGCGGTGGTAAATATAACTTTGGACGTTGAAGTAACCGCAAAGTGTGTCTGGGTAAACACACTATTTGCACGAGATTTCCGGGCGCGCGACCTTTGCCGCCGCACTTTAGTGTGCACTTTGTCGATCGACACCTCTCGGATGCATCTCGAGGCGCGGCCAGAAGTGCTTGGCACTTTACTTGTTATTATTTGACTTCTGGTTTCAAGTTTGTAAGAGATCCGTCTATTCTTTCTGCAAATTTTATCATTATTTTTTTCTTTTTCACGTTACAAAGAGAGAGAGAGAGAGAGAAAGGAATACTTTAAGTAGCTACATGAAAAAAAATTCTGTTTTTTTAAGGAGATTTTTTAGCATGAATGTCATACTGTAACTGCGATCTTAAAAATTATTTGTGATTGTATTTACTTAAGTAGATAATCTGTTTTTAGATTTGTCTAGCTAGTTCGAGACGTTGCGTTTTCAAGATTTATACGTTTCACACTTACAATTAAATAAGCCTGAAAGTATTAAAATTGTCAAATATACTTACATACTACGTTAGATCTGGAATTTTAGCTATTATTTCAGCTATTACAGAAACAATTATAAACTTTTAATAAATGTAAATCGATATAAATAAAAAGTACAAGAATTTGACAATGTGAGGTAGTGAATGATTACTTTTCTTGCTTGATCAAATCTGCAGCTGACAAAATAACGTGACGGATCTAGGAACACTCTGCATAATAACTTGATGGTTCACTACAGACGATTTTGAATACAAAAGCGTATTACATATTTTTCGTTCACATCTCGCCCGAAATCGCTGTCTTCATCAGCGCGTACGGCATCTCCGGTGTGACGGTTATTGTATAAAATACGTATGCGAGATGATTCGTATGGATTCATTACCGTGTCCGAAATAAATACCTCCCAGATGTAGTGGCTTCATCCTTATTCATCGCTCGTGCCGCATAGTTATCGCGATCGCGATGACGCCGTTAATAACACGCGTGTGCGACAACGTCGTCGTCGTGTCTGACGGATCGTCTGACCGTCGCACTGTATTTCCGCGCGACCTTACCGAAAATACACGCGACGAGAATCGCGGCCTTTGACGAAATGCGGAATTTAGTATTTTTTTTGTAGGAAAAGCGCCACCACAAATTCAATTCAGATATAAGGTTTATTGTGTTCAGTACGACATTTTATTAGAGAGACGGAATTAATATCTCTTATATATGAGAGTCATCTAAGAAGAAATTATTAAAAATAAATATCTTTTTATTTTTTTTATACAATCATGTTTTTGCAGAAAAAATTCTTAAAACAACCAATATGAAATTCACATACAAATATTATTGTAAATAAGAAACTTAATAAATTACTCTTTTTAATCGTGTCACAGAAATATATTCGGTTTAAACAAGAAAATAGAAATTCGAAAAGTCAGATTTTTATTCATACAATTTTAAATTGAAAAAATTATAGCATAAAATACTAATTATATCTAAAGTAATCGAATAATCTAAAATTATAATATGTGTTATTAAAGCTCTGTTAAAAATTAAATTGCATGTCGATATATTTGCACTGAAATTGTTTTTCAAATTTCAGACACACTTTTCGCAAAGTTAAATATAACTAAACAAATGTTTAAGGTAATTAAAAATTTAATTTAATTTAATTATTTAGTCTCAGCAGCTCGCAGCTAGGTAAAATAGAATTTTGAATATTGGCCAAGGTTGTGTCTAGGTTCGCTTTTAATGATCACATAAATTATCAGTTATAAATGCTACCATGTTACATATATATTATATATTATATATTATATATTATATAAAATATCAAAAGTTTTATATTGTAATAAAATAATACTTTTGAACAGTATCTAATAATACAAAGAAAGATTACTTACATGATCTGTCTCAAAAGTAATGAGACTAATTCTGTAAAAACCGTTTTATTGAAAATACACTTAATATTTTTTAAAGTAGGATCCTTGAACGCCAATACAGCGGTTCCAGCATTGATGCCACTCTTCGTAGCAGCGCAGGAAGTCTTGACCGGATATGCCTTCCAGAGCACTCGTCGTGGCTGCTTGGACTTTTTTAATTGTCTCAACGTTCTCACCGTTTTGGAACGATTAAAAAGGTTCAAACAGCCGTGAGAAATGCTCTGGAAAGCATGTCCGGTCAAAACTTCCTGCGCTGCTACGAAAAGTGACAGCAACGCTAGAACCGCTGTATTGATACTCAAGAATCCTACTTTAAAAAATATTAAGTGTATTTTCAATAAAACGGTTTTTCCAGAATTAGTCTCATTACTTTTGAGACAGACCGTGTATAGTTAATAATATAAAAAAAACTTATTTTTAGACTGACTTTTTGAACATAATTAGAATTATTTTTAACAATGTTCTGTAATGACGTAACTATATTAATTAATGAATGAATTGCATTCGTTTGTATGTAGCTTGCGACTGTGAAATGCAGACATCACGTGTCAAGTTGACAGGCGGATAATAAATGCGCAAAGAAAACAGCCTCATAAATATTTATAGCTCCGCGGAAGCGGCACATAAATTATCAATAAACAAATTTCCGTTCTCTTCGATGTTCGCGTAAATTCGCATTCAAGATCTATGATTTATTCTCATCCTAACACTTTGTGTAACTTTTGGGATGAAGCCGCTCCCTAATGTCTCCGTGAAACTCTTTTTTCTTGACGTGCGAAATACATTGAGAAAAAAAGATTTACATGACAGACTGTCGACTCACCGTATAACATACTTTGTCAATCATAACTAGCGCACTTGTTATCTTCCTCCTCGCGCAAGATCATTTTTCACTCGCGCACACGCTGACGAATACTTATACAGTCACCGGGCTGTTTCCGCGTTGAATCACAGAGAACTTGATCGATACACAAGTCGACGGTCTCTTCTGCCTAGGTGATATTTATGAAATTAAGTGTGGTCTGAGTAGCGAGTTGATTTGAAGGATCAATCTGCAGCCTTCGTCAGCGGTCGCGATAAATATTGACATCACTGCTCTTTTGCATTTTTTGTTGTAACAACTTCTCAATTAAATTTCTTGTAGTTCTGTTTACGGGGACACTTCGGAGTAAAATTGAATATTTACCCCGCTCATTGAGATTAATTTAATAATGGAGACTATCGGCAATTTTTCCGGAGATTTTATTGTTTTGCAACGATTTTTAGCACGTCTCCGAAAATGATAAAACTATAAAATTGTTACTAAATATATGCTACGTTATTTCCACTAAAAACTTTTTTTTAATTCATAACGTCTGATGAATATAAAAATGACAGATGTGTGCAACTTTATATCAATTCTGAAAAATTAATAATATCTAATAATTAAGATATTTTTTTCTATTATTTTGCGACTATCAGCATTTTGAGTACATGTATCTCCTCAGTTTCTGTTCGTAATTTAGAAATCTTTTGTGACCCGTAGATCCATCGCTATTCAAGCACAGGCAATTCAGAGTTTAAAAAAAAATTCCAACAGTCCTCCTGAAACCTCCTCGAGGTTCGAGAAACGTCGCGGAATCGAGATTGCGCCGGAGCGAGTTTCCGCCTAGCAGGTAGATCGGTTACGAGGATCGCGAGGAAACGGCCGGGGACCGCGACCCGTGGAGGACCGAGAGAGGAGGCATCACGTCGCGGGTGCGCACTTGGCGCTCGTCGGCGGCGGACTGGTCGCCGCGAGTGAATCGGGAGGGACCTAGTCGCGGCTAAGTCACACGGTCGCGCGGGATATTAAACATTTCGCAGCTGGGCGCGATCGTAATCCAATGGCAGGTACCCAAGATCTAAAAAGGGCCGAATGTCAAGCTCAGCTGGTGACGGCTCCCCCGTGGATCGGCGCGCACCACCGCGTCCGGTCGCGCCCGGTCGCGTCCGCAAAGATGCGAAGTCATCCCCCCGACGCGACGGCCGCAGCATCCCGCAAGGAGGGATGTCGAGGGCGCGTCCCGTTGTTTCTCTGTCTTCTCGAACAGATGAAAAAAATTGATGGCATTTCCTGTTCGTGCAATTTCGGTCGATCCAAGTGCGAACTGAGTCTGTAAAAGACTCAATCAAGAAGTATCCAAGAAATAAATATTTAGTGCATAACAGCGTCTTTTAGATATGTTTTACAAACTACAGACGATTCTGTCATGTGTCATCTGTTATAAGAAGCGTTTTTGTAGTATATCCCGAGAAGCTTTGCAGAATTATAAATTAAAATATTATTTGAGTAAAGTGTTCAAGCTACAATATGTAAACACTTTATTCATTCTTTAATTAAGTCAATTATGTGATATATTTTGAAAATTCAAATTATTTTTATTATTTAAATAGTGTTTTTAATACATTTAATTTTTATATCTTTATTTATATTATTTTAATTTGAAGATTAGATATTTCTTGTTAAGTATACATATATGTATAATTTTTCCATTCTTCTGAATCTTATCTAATATAATTCAGCTAGCAACTTGGAAGGTGCCTATAGAAATATAACAGTTTCCACACGTTGTAATCGCTGCAATTTAAATAATCATGAAAAGTATATTATGGCGCTATCTCAAAACCCTAAAATTCAAAAATAAAAGAGTATAAGAGTATCGAGGAGTAACGTAGGTGATGATTATATCTTTTAGAGGTAACAGAAAATATTTGTGTCTAACACATATTTCTTTCAATGAATAAAATATAAATTTAACGTATCCGTGTTAGTATTAGGAGGTGGCACTGCGAAAGCACGGAGGAGTTTACGAAGGACGCTTTGAATACGTGAAAGGGTTATAGGGAATTCGTTCAATCTTATTAAAGATTGAAAGAAAATCTACAATATTAAATAACAAAACTAAATAGACCAACGGAATGACAATACAATATTCAAATACAGTCAAATACAGTGAGACTTCGTCTAAAAGCGCGATTTAAACCGCGATTGAGTCAGTGTTTGTTAAACTTTCTCCGCTGTTTATTTAAATCGCGTCGGGAATTGAGCCCCTTAATTGGTTAACATTTGTTGGTTAAACATTTGTGCGTCCCGCTTATTTAAAATTATTTAAATCGCGTCAGGAATTAAGTCTCATCTTCATTAATTAATAAAATTGTTAAACTTTTCGCGCTTATTCAAACGACCGCTTAATCGATCTCTATCTTATGTACGTGAATTAATATAATAATTTTAAAATATGTTTTCGCGCTCGATTATTCGCGACGGCCACATTTTCTCAGCGCCTAATCGAACTCTATCTTACGCACGTTAATTAATAAAATAATTTTAAACTATACATTTTCGCGCTCGATTATTCGCGACGGCCGCGTTTTCTCGGCGCTTAATCGATCCAAATCTTACGTAACATCAAATATTAAAATAATATTAAACTATAGTATATTTTAATATATTAGCAATTTAATGGCAGATTCTTTTATATTTTGACATAAGAAACATCTGTAAAAAAATTGGCGTCTGACGTTCCCCGAGGTTTACTTGTCAGGTTTCTCTCTGCTAGAAATAAACGTCGAGCGTCAGCATGAAAAGGTACCTTTACACATTTTTAAAGAAAATGTTATGAAAAGACAATTTTTCTCAAAGCTGCTTTCCCAAAAATAAATTTTGAAGTGTAGTATGTCAATATGTATGTACGTACATACATACACAACTAATAACTTGTAAGATCATATTTAAAATACAGTAAATGAATGTAGCAGTGACACGCACCACATCTACTTTTGATGCACTTTTATCGACGTGATCGAAAATGGATGTGATACTTAGTTCCTCTATCGAGAAATGGATGTGCGTCGCTAGTTTACAGAGGTTCGCCGGTTCTACGAAATATAACCTAGCATTTCGTCTCGTCCAGTTCTGAGTTCCACACTTTGAGAATCGAGATAGGAACAACAACAGTAATAAGAAATAAGGCGCAATATAACGTAGAGAGGTTGAAGGTACAAATCCACCAACCGGTAGGGCAACGCACAAAAATCCTTGTCATTGTTGCCGTAGCGTTCGCGAAGCGAAGAGTGATACGAGACATTATTATTTTTGTGAATGTCTTTTTATCATGGAGCTTGACAATTCGATATTGATGCAAAAGCAAATACGGGATAATTCGGAGGATCTGCAGAGCGAATTCCTGGACATGAAAAATTGGGAAGAGCAAATGAAACGGAAGGAGCAAGAGATACTGAGTGAACACAACGGACAGGTATTTTCGCAAATAAAAAAGTGATATAAATAATTTGTTAAATGATGAATAAATTCAATGTTTAAAAGTGATAATATTACCAGTTTATTGATTGGAGATCTCTGAAGGAGACTGATTTGAAGATAAATTATATATTTATATATATTCTAACGTAATGCATATTTATAGTTTGTATTTATCATTTAACTTATTAAGTAGTAAGATATGTTATACATTCCAGCAAATTGTACCACCGGTCAGAAGCAAGAATAAGAAAAAATGTGCGGTAAAAGAAAACAAAACGTCTAAGAATTCTTCGAAACGAATAAAATCGCATGACTATACATCGTGGGAGAAATTTGACGTTGTTAGTGATGTTACTTGCATTATGTTATGCAAGTGTTTTCTCGTCTAAATATTTGAAATTTACGTATAACAAATTGCTTGTTGCACAGGACAAGGCATGCAAGGAATTGGAGAATGAAGGACAGTCCGATGAGTCTGTGGAGGAACCTCTGTCCAAGGAAGAATTGGAGAAGAATCACAACAAGGCGATGGAATACAAGGAGCAGGGCAACAGTTATGTGAAACAGAAGAAATGGGGCAAAGCGATCGCTTCGTACAGCGAAGCAATACAAATTTTTCCTTATGACGCCATCTTTTACGCCAATCGTGCGCTTTGTCATTTGAAGCAAGACAAGTAAATTTTATGTCTTTAGAAACATAGGAAGTGGATCATATTAATTTTTATTATTTACATGTAACAGTTATTAAATGTCATTATGTTGCAGCTTGTATTCGGCAGAAGCAGACTGCTCATCTGCCATACAATTAGATCAAACTTATGTGAAGGCTTATCATAGACGAGTGACGGCCAGATTAGGATTGAAACAATACAAAGAGGCAATGGAAGATGTAAATAAGATTGCAGATTTGGAACCCTGCAGCAAGGAAACTGAAGTTTTGCTTAACCAAGTTAAAAAGCAGTTTGGAAATGTATATATTTATTATTATTATTATTTTTATTATTATTATTGAGATACAAATTAATATTTGTATATATATTTTTTTTCTTTAGTCATCTAGGTCAAAAATAGATGTATGTACAACCGAGGTATCTGATAACCAAAAGAGATATCAAGAAGTAATTGAAGCTAAGGAGGATAAAAATGAAAAGAGCAGCATAAATGTAGATAATACTGTAAAACCAACAACAAGTGAAACAACCACAAGTGCAACAGAACCGAAGAAGGACCGACGCATTCCAGATTGGCTGCCCGAAAGGGATAATGTTGAAATCGTGGAACCTATTGATAAACCTCCTCATCTACGTTCAAAGGTAAGATTTGTACTACATTTCATAATTTATATGCGTAACAATATAACTGGATTTTGATTTCAATTAGGAACCATTGAAAAGGATACCTGTGCAGATGGCTGATTTAAGTAAACCTCTCAAAGAACTTTTCAAAGAAGACATCAAAGCAACATGTAGTAAAAGTCAAAAACAAGAATTATCATATATACGACCTGATAATGTCGCAGGACGAAAGGAAAGCGTTGCAATATGTAAACCAAAAGAAAGTTTTGTCGAAAGTTGCAAAGAAATGCCACCTATTCCGATAAACGCCGTGCAGTTTCTAATAAATTGGAAAAAGTTTACCTCATTTGATTTTCGATACAAATATTTAAAAGTAAGTAATAAACTTTTACACACGAAGAGTATGAGTTATAAATATATTTAAATTTTGTTCCCTTTTAGCAAATACCACCAGGTAGTCTGTCAAAAATATTTCAAGATTCAATGGAAAGCGATATTTTTAGTGGTATCTTGTCGACACTCAAAACAGAATTTATGAAACGGAATGAACCTATATTCTCGTATTTAAAGGATCTCAGTAATGTTAAGAGGTTTAGGACGTTTATTATGTTTATCAGTAGCTCCGAAAAGCAAGGTGTGTATAACAGTGCGTACATTTTCTCCTGCTAATGTCTTGAATGATTGATTTAAAAATAAATGGCTTAAATATTTTCAGATCTTAAACTTATGTTCTCATATTGTATTACGTCTGAAAGGATACCTGATGAAGAAGTCACAGATTTACAGAATAAATATGAAATTTAATAAGATTTAACTCTAATAAAAATAAAGTTATATATAGGATAAAACGAGGTAAGCTTAAGGTATTGTAAGAGACATTGATTGTTTCTAACAAGGGAATAAATCGATTTTTTTTATTAAATTGTGTGCAAACATTTATTCATTATACTTTTATCATTTTATGATCAGGTAGTTTTGAGACAAAAATTATATGGTACAAGATTTTGAGAAATTCCATCTATATTTTAATACATATAAATAATATTTACAAGAAATATTGTATAGATACTATATACTCAAGTGTTATAATTATAACTAATATATATAAAGAAATTTCAAAATTCTGTTTGTACAGGTAATTTTCTTTTAAGCTACATAATTAATAGTGAATTAATAATTATATATATTTCAATAACTTATAAAAATATTTACATTACAATACATAGCGATATAAACACGTTATAAATTACCATTAAGTAATCGTCGTATTTTTTGATCATTTTTCATAATTTGCGCTTTTACCTGACATATCTTATCTAACTCAACCTTCATGTTGCTATCAATCTCTTTCAATGTTTCCTTCATAGGTTCTATCATTTCTTGCGTTTCTCTAAAGAAAATATTTCCGTATTAATTTCCGGAATAAAGAATTATTGTTAATTTTATATATTCGTTATGTATACTTTCGTACGTACTTTTGTTCTGCTTCCAGCTGTTCGTTTAATTGGCGATACTGTTTTCGCCAATCCAATAGCTCTTTTTGCATCATTTCTACGTCTTCCTGATATCAAATTTAATTTCGTAAAGAAACGTCGATTAAAGCGTAAGATATGTATGAATGTATATGTGTTACCTGTACGTAATCCAACAATTTTCCGAGAGGATTTGTCGTGCGCGTTAATGTCTGTATAGTTCCGCGTAACTTATCGATTTCCTTAGCCACTGTTTCCCGGTCGCGTTTCGAGCCTGATTCCCACGCCTGTCGTCAAAATGCATTTACTTAATGACAATTTAATCAATGTTTTGCTACAATTTGCAGCAGCAATCACGGCGCAAGAAGTAGAACCAACAACAATATAAATTTTAATTCTTACGATGTCAACTTTCTTCGGCAATACATCGACATTGTCTGTGTTGACCAGCTCCCTCTGAGTCTCTAAGATTTGCGCCACGAGATGCCCATGTTCCTGCATTAGCTGATTGTCTATCTTGATATCTCCGTTCTCCAAGAGATCGCCGCCACTTCCCTTCGCCTCCATCACCACCATGTCTTCCGCGTCGTCGTCGTCGTCGTCGTCCTTCAAGCCGGAGTTCTCCACGATGACGCTGATATTTCCCAATGGTGTTCTGCAGTCGTAATTTGAAATTACTTATAACGTAACAATTCTTCTTGTAATGTAAGTTAAATTGTTAATTATTGTTTAATTATTGTTTAATTATTGTCTCACTGTATCTCCTCGTTGACTATTATCTCGGCCTTTGCTCTCATTCTGGGAGCAGCCGGCCTGGCACTGATCGGTCTGGCACTGGGTGGCCTTAGGGATGTTTTAGGCCTCGCGTTCGATTGTTCCAAACCGCTAAAACAAAAGTTTAATATTACTAGCGCATCTCGATATCATTTCGTTATCAGCAACGAACTTGTAGAACATTACGTCATTTCAGCAGTTTCTGCTTGAGATCCTCCAGGCTCTGACATTGGTTGATCACTTCTCTCGACGCTTTGTTGCCGCGCGTTGTCTTCCACACCATTTTCCTTAGTCTCTTTGACGTAACTGCTCGTTCCTGGTCTCTTCTGCTCTTCGTTATTAGTCTGTAAAGGCATACTTTCTGTTTTCTCCTGTGACCCATTCACCTGTGCCGAGCGTCTTCCTTTACTGGTGGCACTTCTGTGTTGCACCTTCTCTTCCTTCGACAGATCGTTAGTGTCTGGTAAAATCGTGGCATCCTCCTTCACTTTGGCGGACGAAGAAGGTCTCCTTCTTTGCGCCGAAGTAGGAACTTTATTCTGAACTGGCTGAATACAATGAAAAGCATGCCTTTTAGATGTGAGTACTCGCATATTAATTGAAGCACACTTTTAAAAAAAATTAGAAAAATTAATTTTAATCATAAAATCCAGCAAGTAGTTTGTTAAATTTTAAACAAAGAAGAAATAGAACCTTAATTCTCTTTAATAAGTATTTGCTCCAAATATTCCATTATTTAAGCGATATGAGCTATTAACATTTTTCTCTTAATTTTTACCTCAGCCGGCGGGATATCTATGACTTCAATATTCTTCGAGTTCTCCTTCCTGTCGTTCCCTTTTCTTGCTTTGCTCTCTTCGGTTCTGTCATCCTTGTCGCGCTTTGCCTCGCCCGCTACTTTCCCCGTGCTAGATGACCTTTTCTTTCGCTCCGCCGAGATCTTGTCTTTCTCCGACGATTTCCTCGTTTGCGAAGTCTGCCTCGACGCGGCATTTTTCGAAGTTTCCTCTTTAGTCGTGGATCTCGACTTTGATCCGGCCTTCGTTTTCTTCTCTAAACTCTTTTTGTAGTGCTCGATTGCCTCCCTGCTGCTGACCTAACACAGACACACTGTTAATTTACCTTTAAAAGTCGTTTTCTAGTTGTAAACAGTAAAATTTATTACTTTCTTATCAAGGGCTTTCCCAATTGCCTGCAGCAGTTCATTTGTCTTCGTCGGCTCCTGACCAGAGACGATCTTGCTTGCTCTGACCGTTAAATTAGCACCCGAGATTAATTCTAAAATAGTAGTCGCGTAATATATTTAGACACTAATATATGTAGCGATAAGATATGATAGTGCAATAAATTAAATATACTCACTGACGACATCAATAAGTTTCGTCAAGAAGGCGAGCTTTGCTTCCTTGTCCTTTATATTATCAGAATTCAGCTCTTCCTCGCTGAATAATCCTTCTAAGAAACCAGTCTCTCTAACGATCTGAAATCAATTTTCATACATCAATGTTCTAAACGCAAACGAAACTCGTATAAATCCATATATATATTCCAGATAAATTAAACAAATTTTTCAAAAAGAAATATTGGAGTTACTGAAATATGTATATATATTGAATGCACAAGCGATAAATTACAGCCGTTATAATATCGTGGAGGAAGCGAAACGGCGGCTTGCGTAGCAGTTTCTCGGTTAGTGGCGGCTTCTTGAAATATTTCCCGAGTAAATCCTGCGTTTTCTTTATCACCTCGGGTCGCACCTCGTCTGTCATCGCGATAATTGCTGCCCTTTTCCTTCTGAATCCTGCCTAGTTATCGACACACGTGTATGTATGACACTTGCGGCGATCCGCGTTCAATGTAATGTAAAACCGTTGCCGGGCAACGCCGAGGCATGACAGCGCACGTGGAGTACCCACGTCACTTGACGACCACCTGATCGCGCGCGCGCGCGCGCGCGCTAATCGCAATTGTATTTTCGCGGCACGTACAGGGATTTTTGTGACTAGGGAGTATATTGCGACGGCGACACTGCTACTCCGTATCGCACGGCGAGCGCAATGTTTTTATCGAAGCTGAAGTCAATGCGCTTTTAAAGGTTATCCCCCGAGAATGAACGTCTTGAATTTGTTGCCTGCTCTATCGCGGTAATTATGACGATTTTATATAAATAATAGTGTTAATCTAAATTTCATGTTGAAATAAATTATTACGTAATAAATTATTTACGTAATAATTTAATTGAATTTCTTGATAAGAAAGCTGTCTCTCGCGAGATGACTATAAATTGTACGTCAGGATGGCAAGTTTTAGGAAGACTCCTGTGAAAATTGACTTACCGTTTTTATCCTTGCAGATTATCGGTGCGCGCTATACCTGGCGTACGAAACATATCGGCATGCACCGATCCGTTGTACTTCAGGGTCAGCAGCGTGCTTTTGTAAGTTGTCGTTGTATAAATTTCTTGCGTCTGTTGTGCGCACATCTTAGCACAATTGTAAACGCGTAATGTACTCCACAGAGGAGAACCGTTGAAGAAGAAGAAAAGGCTAGACCCCGCGATTATTAGGGCGCGAGAGGAAAGAAGAAAGAGGAAGCTAGAGAAGCAAATTCGTAGGTTGCAGAAGCAAGCTAAGCAGCTGAAACCAATCAGCGAGATGGAGGTGCCGTCAAAATTAATAGATGAAAGGCAGTAAGTTTTTCATAAACGCAGAAAAACATGCATTGCACGTAAATTAAACGCGGGACAAATATATAATGATTAATTTTGTAATGCTCTTATACTTGTGGTACACTAACTGTGAAAATTGATTTCAGGGAAAGGTTGCGAAAGCTTCCACCGATATCCGAAGAGGAGGCGGAGTCCAGAATTTTATTGGAAAAAGAGTGGAACAGATATAGAACTAAACAGCATTTAGCTGACACTCAGGCGATAGATTCTATCTTATATTCGCAGCAAAAGGCACTCGACGAACTGAGGGCAGAATCGGAAGATTTGTACCAAGAAGCGATACAAGTAATCAATTATTTAATTTACTCGAGGAATTAAACTAAATATGATTACCTTTTTATGTCGTAATTGTAAGTAGTTTCGCGTAAGGATCTGTTACAGCATGATTTAAATTTGTACATTTTTTAGCTGGATCTAGCTCTTTTACCGCACACGGCGAAAGGACCGGTGAAAACGCCTGCGATAAAAAATTACGACAGTCCCGATGGGGAATACACGAATACCACTCGGAAATTCGATGGAGAGGAATGAGCGTTTGATGGCGTTAAAAGGAATGGATTTTTATGTCTGAGAATACGTACAAATAAAACGTGTATTTTCAGCTCGAAATATGGACTCGTACATTTAACAATGTTACATGAGAATCTAATAGAGTACAGAAAGCAATAGAAGCAAAATAAATATTTTAATATAAGGAGAAATAAATATTTTTTTCCGTTCAAGAAGAAAATTTACGATGCTTAAGTAAGCGACAAATTATTTTTAAAAAAGCATATATTATAAGATATTGAGAGCTTTAGTGGAATAAGAACTTATTCTATCTGCCATAACTCCTGAGAAAGTGAAGCTTTGTTAGACTAGATTTTATCTCAAATATGAAAATCAAAGAATTTATTCTATAGAGAAATCTTTTAATACTATTTGATTTCTTAATTGCATTCTCGTATGGCTTTTACAAGCTCACTTTATCACGATTTCTAAAAAAAAACGAATTGTAGCGTTACAAAACTGCGCTATTTTAAATTCTATTTATCCTATCGACAAATTTTTGCAAAACAATTTTTTATTATTTTTAGATTGTAACGCTAATTAAATCCGTAAAAAGAGAAGTGGAAATACACAATTCGTGTAAAACGCAGCGGAAAAAGTATTTTACAGATAAAGAAGTATTTTACGTATAAACAACGCAGTTCGCAGCTTTTTCCCGACATTATATTAACGATACATTAACGAAAGGTATAGTAATACAAAATAAGCGTATTTCCATTCGCCAGTTACATTAAGGTTACGCGTCGGTCATGAATTGGCCGACGCGATAATAAAGTACACCTTCGGTATAATCCTAAACTACGATGCTGCTGATCTATATCACAGTAATACATATCTAAAGGAACATGCATTCCAGTGCGTTGCGAATATTATCGATGTTCCACAATATATCGCAGGCTCTCTCTCCCTTTCGCTGATTCTTTCCTCGAATAATACGAGTGTGTCCGAGAGTGTCATTCTAAATCTTCCCTGAATCTTTTTTAAATCTTACAGAAACGAAAAGTACGCCGTAAATCTTTTCGAGACCAGTTCGACGTCGTAAAGAATCCAAATATATAAAAGACGCCGTAAATCTTCGAGATGCAAAATGTCATCCACATACGTCTCCCGCCTCTTCGTCTTCTTCAGCGACGCGTTTTGAGAATCTCGTAAATCTTTCTCTGGAGGCAATCAAAAGAAGAGTATATTCCCCGCGAGGTCGTTTATTTAGTCGAACTTGAGCTCGCGCTTGCACATGGGACATTTGTCGCTGGTCTTCAGGCATTGTCGCAGGCAGTCCGCGTGGAAGAGATGATGGCAGGGTGTCACCCTGGCCTTCGTCATACCGCACAGACACACCGCGCACACGTCGTCGAACCTCTCGATCTCCTCGAGGGTCGCCTTCCTGTAGCGGTTCAACACCTCGCGCTCCCGTCGCAGCACCGCGCCTGAATTCGCCATCAGTTCCTTCCATCGCAGGTACACGTTCAGATACGTGGCGACCATCAGGAACCTCCAAGAGGCCGACGGTAACAGCAGGACGCTGAAGAACGCCGACATGGCGATCGTAAAGCAGCGGAGTAAAACCGGCGCGTACAGATTCTCGATGTTCTCCAACGCTTCCAGCTGCAGGAAGCCCAGGATCGTCGGGAACATCTCGACGAAGACCTTCTCCGTCGCCGAATAGTAAAGCCACGTGATCACCGTGTAGATCAACGAAGGTCTGAAAATTATTGAGGAACTCAAACGAAAGATACCAAAAGAGAAATACAGATACATATCACACATCGAAAAATTATTAATTTTTTTCTGGGACACACAAAAGGTGTTAAGCAAACTGTATATTAATTATATACAACAAACGAAGGAATGATTATAATATAGTCTTAAATCAAGTTCCTCACTTGTAATGATCGAGCCCTTGCTCCAGTCCGAATACGAGAAGCATGAAAGTCAGCGTGACGACGAATGTCACCGCCTTGGTCCACTCGAGCACGATCTTGGTGGCCGACATCGCGAGATGCTTGATCTTGGAACGCTCGGTGAGGGTGACGTACGGCGACCAGTCCTCCTTCTGAATCAGCTCCTTGATATAGCTCACGCAGTAGGCTATCACGTTGTAGAACATGAGCGTGTACAGGCAGGTCAGCCTCTGCTGCGGCAGCAGCACCTTGTCGGCCAAGATCAGGAACACTATCTGGTTCGCCATGACGGAGAGATTGCGCATCTTCAGGAAGAGATTCTCCGCGCGGTCCACCGGCGCGTATAGCCGTCTCAGAAAGCGATTCAGAGGATGCCATGCTCTCTTGGCTCCACCTTTTTAACATCGTGATATAATCGATTTCACAAAATGAGATTTAAATTTATCTCAATATGGAATACGGAATTTAACTTTGCCTTAATTGATTCGAAATGAAGGATTTATAATTTCGCCTATAAAACAAGGAACTTATTTTGTCTCAATTTAAAAATGAAGAATTAATTTTTACCTTTATACAAAATAAGGGATTCAATTTCGCATCGATATGAAAATGAGGGATTTAATTTTGCCTCAATAAAAAATAAGGGATTTAATTTTACCTCGCGCGTCCATTAATGTGACGTCTTCAAAAACGTTGATTTAAAATAGTAACTTTTAACATTTAGGAACGCAGGTGAGGCGAGTTTCGAACGTTCTATATGGCTATACGGAATGGGGGACGGGACCCTAATTTGACGGTTCTTCGTACAAAAAAAAAGGAGCAAGATTAATATGGTCTACGCGCAACGAAAGAGATCGATGTTCAATCTGGGTTTTTCATATTGCGCCTTAGAGATATCGGAGAGTGTTGGGGTTTATAATTCGAAAACGTTCAGCACCGAATTTCGAATACTCGCGTTCGAGGGAGCGATTAACTTTAATTTATACTTTGAGATTACCACGTTGAAGAAAGTCTCTTAATTTATACCGCCAAATTATAACTTAAGAAGCGTGGATTCTCGAAAGGCAATTTTTTACTGTTATAGCTCAAGCCGGCGCGCGGTATCCCGTGCACCGTGCCGGCACACCGATGATGATGAAGTAACTAACGTAGATCGATGACTCCAATTTTCATATTGGCCTTATTCGCCTCTACGTACAAAAAACGTCTATATACGTGGCTATTTACGTTCGCCAACGGGCAAAAATCGCAAATGATCGAGGCGAGCGCGGTGAAGCCCGGAGTCGTTCAACCGATAATCACATTTTGAGGATACAAATCGGCCACGTGACGAGGAGGCGATTCGCAAAAGTTTAAACAACCTGCCTCCGACCGACTCGCGAACGGCCGAACAAAAACCGCTTACAGCCGCTACCGTCCTCGTAATTATCGGAGAAAATTATCGTTTTAACGTTTGCGGAGGCGAGCAAAAAAGAAGCGCGCAGACACGCGACATCTCGTTATTATTAAGCACAAGAACACATTGATATGCGCTCGCCACGAAGATAGATTCCTCTTCCTCCTCCTCCCTTCTCTTCCATCTCGCTCCTTTTCATCGTCACGCTCATCTTTCGCGGGACCGAAGAAGAAAGAGAGCAAAGTTGCGGACGAGCGATATACGATAGGAACGCGTCATCGTGAATGATTTTCCGGAGGTGGACCCGATCAACGAACGGCAGCGACCAACCCCCATGTTGAGGGTTTTACCGGAGGATGACAAGTTGCTGAATAACGTGACAGGGCGTGCTTTACGTTAATAATTGTGAACTTGTTGCCAGCTGATGCTGATGAGCGCGAGCGCGGAACAAGAGAGGAGGAGAGCTAGAGAGAGAGAGAGAGAAAGGAGAGAGAAAGGGAGAGCCTCCCTCGGCCACCGTTAATTGAGTATAACGTAATTGACGTGGCTTCGATGAATGATCGACTTCATTTTTAGTAACGAGTCCCGGAGAGAAAGAGAGCGAGAGAGCGCCCAGCGGGAGAAGATTTGCATATTAATGGACGTCACTCAGGACGAGTCACCGACGACATGGCAGCAGGACGAGACAAGGACAGACTGCTGAGGAGGCGGTGGCTACGTGGAACCCGTAGGATTTCACATGGCAACCGAAGAATCTCCCATCCCCCGGTTGGCGACACCAGGAGGGCCCCTGCTACCTATAAAACTAACCGCGCTCCGTCTCCGGCCGAGCATTGAGCGACTTGGCGTCCACACGACAGGGATCATATTGCCGATTAGAGACGAGACGAACGTCCGCAGGCAGCGAGAGGACTTCAGAGTTCAGGTGAGTGCGGGGCGACGACGTCGCGGTAGACGTGACCTATGGCAATTCCTCGTTTGCGCAACGCTACTTCTGCACTACTTGACTGTCGTTTGAATCGGACGACTATCTTTGATATTTCAATTGTGTTTAATACTAACTGATATTATAATATTATTATGCACTACAGTGTTCTAATTAATTCGTTCTGATATATCGTTGATTTTTAGAGACTGAAACATACGGCCGCGCTATATTATTGAACCGTTAATGTAGGATTTAACTGCGTGATAAGTGGACTATCTATGATTTAAAATCTTAAATTATCTAATACATCATTTTAAAAAAAATGAAATTTTGGAATAGATTGGTATAAAATATTATTCAGCTTTAGCCAATTAGTTTCAGAGTTGAAGAGTTTTGTATCGACGATTTCATTATTAAAAATTCATTTTGAATTCCAAAAAGCTATTCTAAAAGAAAAATCAGGTCAAAAAGATCTAAAGTCGAAAAATAAGTTTTCCGGTTTAGCCGGTTTAGCTTGGAAATAAAATCGGGAAACTGGCGAAAAGTCGAAAAGTAGCGAGGTCAGCGTCAGAGTATCCGTTTCGTACCTTTGGCGGCCTCGGCGAGAGTCTTGAGGGTCGGTACCGGGTACCTGTAGTTCGCGCTTAAAACGACCGGCAGGACGAAGGCTGAGTACAGGACCGGCGCGGGCGACGGTAGAAGCGGCAGCGGGCCGCGTGGGCAATAGGGCAGAAGAAGAACCGCGCTTAGAAGGCAGACACTTTGCGCCGTTTTCTCCTTGTCGACCGTCAGCGAGTTCGCGCGGACGCGACGCCTCACGCGCGCTATCATACCCATTTCGCTGGCCCTGAAAATTAAACAACGAGATAATGTACAATTCTTTCGTCAGTATCACTTTTTAAAATGACAAGCCTTTAAATTTTTATATAACTTCTCTCAGCTGGTTCACATCGTCATAAAAGCATATAATAATTTCAAGAGTCTTTTCGATTTCTGTATACTTCGCAGTTTGGAATACTTGGCTTATTTATAATATTACTTTACATATCGGAAATTCGCACACTTTTGAAGGTATGCAAAGACAGTAAACCTGTTCTATTTTTCTCGCGAAGAAGCCGTCCAATTTTAAATATTGAAACTACTATTATAAAATTTTGAAACTTGATTTTCAAAATATTATCTGTAAATTAAAATTTTTCTTTTTCTTTGTAAAATTTGACACGTCACGTGTTGTCCGATGTTATGAAACAAACAATATAGAAAATAATTAAAATATGAAGAGATAACTGAAATCGTATAACAATCAAACGTGCTCTCTGAAATTTTGTCTTATTTGTAAGATTAATTAAATTATATACTATTATTACGATTATTTTCATTATTACCGCTATATCTATTATATTATTATCGCATTAACTAATATCTCTAGGTTTCTCTTTGATTTTTTTATTGTCTGTTACGATACAAAAAAATTTTTTTAAAAAAAATTGGAAATCGATACAATCTTAATTAACTAATATGTCAATATGTCAATCGCGAGCTTGCAATGTTTGCTAATTGCTTAATAACAAGATCGGAATTCTGCAACTGCACTGAGCTCAAATGAGTTCAATCAGCGTTCCGCCAGAAATCGCTCGCTTTTGGCAAGTCGTCTACGTAGATCCTCAACTCTTCAGCATTGCGTTGCTTATATCGAACGATTCGGACGCACTTCCACCTATTTCTAACCGCGAGAAGCTCTCTTCTCATAAATATTTGCCTTCTGTTTCTCTCTTTCTTCTTCCTAAGAAAGAGAGAGAGAGAAAGCGCAAAACGATACTTCCGGTTTACTCTCACAGTTTACCATATTAATCGTTCTGTTTATCGATCTCTGTATGTTTATCTATAGTCTGGTATGCATGATTTATTTATTATCTTTCGACTCGGGAACCGTATATTTCTTGACGTGCGTGCAGCAGTGACGGTAATCAAATAGTTCATCTTCTTCCAACTGATTTATTTATTCTCGATACGCGGAAATTCATCTCATTTTTCTCGCGAAGAAATCGTTTAATTTCTGCAGGTATGGTATTGGAATATTGTTAGATATAATTAACAATTTTAGGACTCGGTTTTCGAAATATTATTTATACGTTTATTTATCAATTAATTAAACAATTCTTCTTTTTCTTCGCGAGATTTCGCACATCCGCAATGACGTACGTACGTCAAGAGACACGCGATGTCAGATGATTCGATGAGGTATATGTTGGTCAACATGAAACTGCGGAGGCAACGTGGCACGTTTGGCACAAATTTCGGAAATTGCATTTTGCAGTTGACACAATAATGTTTTAGTTGTGTCAACAATTAATAGTAAACATGTTTGCTCGACTTCCGGTGAAAATCTAAAAGCACGTGCGTCGAAAATATTGATTCTGGATCGTTAACAGATGATAAATATTCGGCTAAAAGTCGATTGCTCTTGGATTTTGAAGCAATAGTGTAATAAGGTGCAATTTTAATCTCGAATTTTAACGATAAGTTTTTTTCTCGCTTTCCTTCGATTTATTCTTTTTAATTAGAAATTCACCGCGTTTTATCGCGCAGTTCTCGTTTCCTAAGAAAGTATCTAAAAATAACAGAGTGAAGAATTTTTTAAATATTTCGCTTTATATATTTCAAAGGGATATCAAATGAGGGAGATGAAAACGTGAATCATAGATGCCAAAGCGTATTTAGTGCCAAATCGTGCCTATCCGATTGTTGCTGCATGTCTACATTGAAGGTGATCTGTGCACGAAGTAAATAAGACGCAGAATCAAGACGCCGCATTTAGCTCAAACCACGCGATGGGAATCTTTAAATATGCAATCGTCACAGGCCCGTTGCAATCGGTCCTACGATAATACGTTTGCCTCGTCCGAAACACGTGTCTATTCTTAATTCTTCATTACACTTCCTTTCCGAATTAATTATCGTTAGGTGACTACAATTATTCGTTTTATAATTTTCATCGTCACGTATTAAAATGGAAATTAAGTTAAACTACAGCATTATCGTGATAGAAGGAAAGAATTAACTTGTATTCATTAATACTATAACCATACGTTTATAAATTGATGTAATATAACTATGATTTTCCCAATATTTAATTTTATTCCAATTGTGATCTTATAATGAAACATCTAACGTCAGAGATTTTAAAGATAAAATTACATTTAATATTAAAGTGTACGATTTTGTTGACTCGTCAATAGACGTGATTATATATTTGCATCTGCAGGACAAAATTCGTTCGCTAGAATTAAAATAAATTCGGCGAATAAATGACGTTGGTACCCCAGCTACTCACTCTCAAACGATGATAAAGTGTACGTATTCAATCCTCCACAAGAAAATCGCGAATTCTGGAAATTGGAAAAATCCTTTCTTTCTTTCTCTCTTTCTTTCGCACTCTTGAAACCCTTTAGTTCTTCTGGACTAGAGATTCACTTTCGAGAGATTCTATTGCGAGAGATTTTTGCGGAATCTCACTACTCGCTGGAACAAATTCGTCGCTGCCGTTTGTTTGACCGCTCACGTCCAAAACGAATGCTAACTGGTACGATACTGACCGTTCAGTCGGTCTTTGTACCAGCGGAGCAACGAAACAAGACGATGTGGGTGTGTGCGTGAGTACGTACATGTGACAGAAAATGAGAACAAGAGAGAGAAAGAGTGGAGGAGGGATGGGTTAAAAGGGTGGCAGAAGAGAGAAGAGATATGATGATCAGAAAACAAGAAACAGACAGAACAAAGAGAGACGGAATAAGAAGTTCAACAGTGCAGAGGGAGATACACAAGAATAAATAGAAGAGAGAAGCGCGCAGCGAGAGATAAAGAGAAGAAAACGGGACGGATGAGGGCGGATGCGAATAGAGAAAGAAGGGTAGACGATGAAAACGGAGGAGAGAAGAGGGCGGGATAGTTAGGGGGAGGGAGAATTTGGCATCTGCGTCGAGTAACGCAAATTTCTTCGGCTATTCTTAGCAGGGCAGAGGTGCGATGTCGCGTCTCGTCGGACGTCGGCGTTTTCCGAACCGCGAAAGCTCCCTCGCGGATTTTCTCTACGTGGCCGCGCCGCCACGATCCGGCTGAATGGAAAACACGCGCAGTTCTATGAAATTACGCCGTGATTTCGAGAGAATTGACTCGCGATAATTCCGTGATTTCGAAAGAATTGATTCGCGATAATTCGGCTGGCTTGAACTTTCTTATCGCCTGTCATCTATATTTTACGATTTAGCCAAACGAGTTTGTAAAGATTTATCGTTTCCTGAGATTGACGATTCTGCGTTAAAGAATTACGATATTACGTAAATTCTCTGTCGTGAATAATTCTATGAATATCCTGTCGTAAATATTAAATTTTAAAATTACAGTAATTCCATTACGCGACTTATCTCTTTCTTTCAGCCACGTGTCGTATAAAATACTTGAATACCTCGGATTTACGTATCGCCTAGCACTAAAACTTCCCTAATCTACTAATCGTAAATATTCATATCGCACGTAAAATGATGTTAAAATTTATGCACTTGCGTAAAGCAACTCTATAAATAAGACATAAAGTTATTTCGCGCATTGGGCTAAATTTAAAGGGTTAATCACCGCGAAAAATTCAATGAGAATTCCGCCGAATTTCATATAGAGTCTGACGATGCGCGTCATTCACTACTGCCGCAGAGAGCACGATTTTAGCCGGTGATTCCGCTGGTTTCCTCGTACCGATTGCGCGGTGACCACGAGAATATCGATACGGCGCGGCCACGTGAGATTAGTTCCGGTGCCACGAAAATAAACAGACGGTTTATATTGTTTCTTAAAGACCGTGGGTTGTATCTGCACGCCGCACATTCCGATTCTTATTTATTTAACGCGCACGCTGGCAAGTTCAACATTTCTCTTGTCGTATTTACACAATTAATTTTGCTCCTCTTTCGAGCAACGTCCAAAATCGGTTTACAGCTAAAAACTGGAAGTGAAGTTTCGATATGCACCGACGGTGCATATTTCTCGATGTCATTGACCCGGTTCTCGCGGCACGTATGTTTTCACTCATCGAGAGGGAATCGGCCGTCTGGGAGGCTAATTTTACGCCGTCTCTCGCAGAGAGCGGAGAAGTTTAGAAAGACTTGCGATTCGACGCAATGACCCACAATGAGAAGATATAGCACGGTCCGCAAATAATCACCGCTCTTTTGTCCGCGCGCGCCCCGAAAAGAAATATTCCTTCGTTCTCTCCCTCTCGCGCGCGGGGAGACAATAAAAGGCCGTCGCGCGAATATCAAACCGTATATACGTATAGCCGGTTCGCATGCGAGACGAAAATATTGCACAAGCCAGACGACGCCGCGTATATCTGCATTTCCATTATCTTATTTTAATACGTTTTTTTTTGCGGAAACACGCCGATCGCGCAAACTCGCCGACATGGCGTCGAGATACACGATATTAGAACGGCTGTAGAGAGATGCGCCGAACACGAATAAAACAGATATTGCTCGCGGAAAATAATTGCACGCGTACAAGATCACACATCGCGATCGTGCAACGTCTCAGAGAATCCAAAGAGATACGTGATAACTACGGGATTAGAAGGTCGAATCAGTGCTGTTGTATTTATTGTACTTTTAGAGGGACCAAAGTCTTCTTGCAATATTTATATATAGCAACAGAGGGAGATTGTTATCTCGGAGTCCGAAAATAATGACCTATAAACATATATAGATAAGATTGCGACAAAATTGTGCAAAATAATAGATAATATTGCGACGAATGCAAGATAAAATAAATTCTTTTATTGTTACGCCCACGCACGCTTACGAAAAAAAAAAGAGCGGAGTAAAGGAGGCCGCGAGATTCGCCGAGTATCAATGCTGAGTCAGCCCGCGCAATTTCCTTGTTTACGAACGGATGTTTATGGATAGTCGTGGGAGGGAAGAAGGGAAGCCTTGTTCGGCGGAAAGTGGATCATGTGGCCGCGTGAAATGTTTGTGTTTATTATTAGCACAATCGGACAGAATAGCGGGAGAGATCTGCGTTACTTCTACCCCGAGCAACACCGCGCCTTTTCGGCCAACGAACCCAGAGGGAGGATTTAAAAATTCATCTCTATTTAGTGCTGGTAATTCCGCAAAGTCGCGTTCAATCATAATAGCGCGTGGCGAGCGAGTCGCAAATAAATTGCAAAAATTAGAGTTTTGTATTTTACTTTTCTGATATGAATTCTGCGTTATCAAAGTTCGCGTTGAACGCATAACAGTCCACACAAGAAAAAACGGATCGATACATTGGTAAACAAAAGCAAAACGAGAAATTAATTAATAATTTATTACATGTTGTCGCTGTATTATCTATTACGCATACCGACAAATATCGTTAATTAAAACCTTATCTCATCCGTTCACCGCGCGTCGGAAAATTGCGGAACTTTCCTGTGCAGTTCGACTTTCCCAGTTGCTTTTAATTTCTCTTGAACTCGGACGCCGTTTTACGCCGTTCTAAATTTCACATAGCAAGCGTCGATAAGCATATATATCGATAAGGAGATTGCATCCGCGGCAGCTGAGGGAGAACATTTGGGCCGCGTCGTTCCCGAGGCGAAGGGGTTCGTGCCGCGCCGCGGATTCGGCTGCCCTTTCGCTTCTGCATTTATCGATAAATCGGTTCACGCCGGTAGTAGTCTTTGCCCCCGCGGAGTTACGGAGGCTGCGGCTAAATCGTTTCGCTATGTGCAGAGTGGGGACCTTCGTATGGCTATGTGGAACATCAGTTTTACCCGTTTAATTCGCGCGACGGGTCGCCGGCACGAACGCTTTTCCCCGGCTCTCGCATCGCGGCCGCCTACACGCCTGGCTGCAGTACCGTCATCATCTTCATCATCACTATCATCATCACCGTTACCGTCATCATCATGTCTTCGATATTTCTGTAGAAGAAATAATATAATCGTGAATCTACACAAAGACATATCAGAGCCTTATGGAAGATATATTCTATTTCACGCGATAGAGATCCATGTCGCGGCTGATTCTTCACGTTACGTTTGATGGCCGTATCTCGAAGTGCCTATACGTCAGTGCGCATCACCTCTGTGTGCTTGTGTTTAGGCGGATCTGTTGAGATGTCCGCGCATTCTTGATTCTTCATTTCCGGAACATACATGTCGTAACGTACACGCAACCTTTTGGCGGACGGAAGAACATTTATTACCGATCTCTTACCTAAATATAATTATATACGTGCGTTTTCTCAAATGAATACAGTTAGATCACGCAACAAATTATTTGTATAACATTTTGATACATCTCGAAGAAAAAGAGAGAGAGAGAGAGAAATTGTTCACTCTGTGTGCTTCGCGCTGCAACATGTAAGCAATTAGTGGCATACTGGCGATGAGAAGTCGATTCTGCAACTCGGTGGTATCTGCCTCGATATTTCTGCGGATATTCAATATTTCTGTGTCGAAGTGCCGGATTGCTACGCATAATGTCAAGACACTGAAGCGAGGTAATTGAACTCGGTAAATGGAAAGATAATCCGCATCTGTACGTGATATTGCGATAATTGGGAAATTATTAATTACTATTTTTAAAAAAGAGACAAATCATTTCTTACGAGAGAAGCAAATAATTTATTTTATCATCGTAATTATTAATTATTCTTTACGAAAGAATTATATTTTACATAGTTACAAGTGGGCGTAAAATGGGAATTACATTGATATTCGATACAAATCGCGATTATTAATTAAGTTAATCAATGAAAACGCAAGGCCACTTCGACAGTATTAAATCGATAAGTGCATCGAAAAATGCAACTTTTAGTAACTATCGTGAAACATTGTCACAAACATAAATGCCATAAATCGTGCTTAATATTAATGCACGATTAATATATCTTAACATTTTTTATTCTTGCAACACGATTAATATACTTATCTTAATGTTTTTTTATTCTTCTACAACAAATTTTTATCTTTAGTGTAAATTTTATTTTCTTTCCTCGCTATATATTCACGCTCCGCATTTCGAAACACTGTAAATTCGTTCAACCAAGGATCGCTTACTTTCATTATCGAGATAAAGGTTCGAAACAAGATCAATACATGGAGAGATTGGTTTGGAGTTTATATTATTTAACTTGTTGCAAATTTTATTTTGTATTTATCCTCGACGTATCGTTGATCTCTATTTGAAAGTTTGTTGAGAACTCTACGAATGTTCGATCTTATCGAGCAAAGCTAGAGCTTTCGTATCTCTAGCCTCTATCCTTGTTTATTTACTCTCTGTTTTACTCGCTCAAGACGAGGTAGAAGTAATAGCATTTTTTTTCAGCTCGCGAACTTAGAACATACATACATGAATTGACATTGTTGCATTGTTTTTCATGGATCGAAAATGAGTTTGATGCCTCTATTCCCCTTCCATTAATATACGTTCTAAGCTCGCGAGCCAAAATTTGAACAGGCCGTTTGTCATTCAAGTGTTTTACTTTCAAACAAGAGTTTCGTCGTTACCTTTCGTCTTTGCTTCTCGTCCTTATACTAGCTCGTGTCAAATTCTACAATAAAAAAAAACACGGTTTACACACGTGTCGTTTCTGTTCCAGATCGGCGGATCACCATGCTTACCTTCCAACTTACTTTTGCAATTGTCCTCCTGGCTACGGTCTTCCTGTAAGCATTAACAATGGCGGAGCAGCAACGAGTAAAATCTTACGTTGTACATACGTTACGATAATTAATGTGATTCCATATATGGTGTTTCAGGATCGACAGGTCTCAAGCACACCTCGCGCAACGGCACGAGTCGCACGAGCCGAAATCTGTATACTGTATAGACTGCGGCGACAAGTGCGACCAATGCGTGTTCGGTTCCATAATGTCGACTCTCTGCGTCGGTGTCAGGGAATGCCGAAAGGTGAATAACCACTCCGATTAATGATTGCACAATAATACGATGCTGCAGAAAATTTTTAATCTTCGTACCGCACTGAGAAAAGAAATTTGTTGAAAAACGCAAAATTTGTTTCATCTTACCAAAATATTTAGTTTAATACGATCAACTAAACGTTACTACAATGGCACAAAAAAATTTGTCACTATTATAAACAAAATATTATTTTTTAAGTAAACTATTTTGTTTCAACAAAAAATTGTATTTAACTCAACCGCTCGATTAAAAATACATACTATTTATTATCCCCATCAGCATCGTTTAGTCAGTTTAATATTTGGAATTTGAACAAATAAGTATATTACTTGGATAACTAAATAGCATGCAAACACAAATAAATACTACTAGTTTTCGAACAAAATGATTTAATTAAGTTGGTTTAGTTAATTCTTGATTAAAAAATTTTGATGGTTGACACGAATGAACTATACTTTTCTTTGTGCAACTAAAGAATTATTGAATCAACCATTGGATCAAACAACTATACAAATTTAATTCGTACAATCAATTTTTTTTCTCAGTGCGTCCTATAAAATTCAAGGTTTACTATGAAGTTGAGTAAAAATCAATTTCATTTTTATTTAAAAAGTTTACTCTCTAAATTTTTTGGAGTAAATCTCACTTCAAAAGATTGAAAATACTGTTACTCGGCTACTTGAGTGGCAGTATTGTCACTCTTTTGGAGTGAGATTCACTCCAAAAAAGTGAAAATTTACTTCAAAAAATTTAGAGAGTAGCATTTGAAGCTTTGGTCACAGTCAGTTTTTAGGCTGTATACTACAGTTTTGGCTTTACTATTTAATATAAAAATTTATTTATCATAAGTTCGCATAAATTTTATTTTGTATTTATCCTCGACGTTGACTTCTATTTGAAAGTTTGTCAAGTTCACTCTACAAATGTCCGAATTTTGTCGACGACGATTTGCTGTAGGGTCCCGGAGAATCTTGCGGTGGCCCAAGCGATTCCTGGGGCGTGTGCGGCGACGGACTGATCTGCAGTTGCAACCAATGCACGGGCTGCAGCGTGGACAGCCTAACGTGCTTCGTGAACACTTGTCTGCCCCATCAGAGTCTGGAACGCAGCCATCTCGATTTATTGAAGAACTACCCTATCGAAAGAATCGCCAAGTAAACGAAGACCCAACGCAATCCCCGGATGGATGAAAAGGACGACGGATGGATGAGACGACGAATGTGAGAGGAGCGAATGTGAAACGAGAAAGGCGGAGAGAAACGCGGATATATATTAGTGATTTTTCCGAATTATTTATTGCATTTCACTATGTAATCCCATTAGGTACCTACTATTGTGATAGAACTCGTCGGAGCCCGTCTCTACTACCTTCTCCCAACCCCGCCCCCCGCACTTCCCCTCACCCCCTCGGCTTCCGACGAGACGACGTGCTTCTGCCCGTGTATAATGGCATTTCTGTGATTTTTTTTTTTTTAATTACGTTATCCCATCTTTGTGCACGCATGTCTCAATGAAAAACGCGCGCCGCCGGCGTCCGCGCGCTCATATAGCGAGCGTGCATCGCCGGCTAGATTGATCTCGTGAGATGTTCGATGAATCATCGCGCATGGCTGTGAATCGCGCCTCTCGCGGAGTAGAGAGGGGCAATCGACGGAATTCTCGTTGTGTTTCCCGCGCCGGGAAACATCGGAAATCCGGGTTTCTGTTGAGAATCGAAAAGCGTCACGGTGCAAACCGGATGGAAGAGAATGGTGAGAACGATTGAGGACGCAGTAAGCAAAGGAAATATACGAAAGCCCACCCCACCGCTTTTCTTCCCCTCCCTCCCCCATATCCCGTGGAACAGTCGTTAATATGATTTTTGACATTCCGAAATTGATATTTCGATTACGTATATATTGACGAAATCTACATTACTATATATATGTCGACATTTTGCATTTAATATTTATTTTCAATGTCGAACGCGTTTATACTTTAAGGGGTGTCGCAGGGAGACGCTCTCTGTGACGAGGGGTCTCCCGACAAGGCATACGTTGCCTCTCACTGACGGACTGTTACTAATTTATTAATAGACGCAAAAAATATAGTTGATAAATATAGTTAACTTTTTCACCGGTACTTCTTTCGCGCCGGATAGTCATCCGTAAGCGTCTCAAGAACGGTGAATACCTTACGCAGCTCTCGATATTTCTGCGGAGACCGGACGTGAATGTTTTCGGCGAACGCCGCCCTATGTAACGGACAACAGAATAAAATTGGTTGCATTCATGTTCGCGTTATTTTGACGTACCTTCCCTCGTTCCGAATTAATTTGTTTATTCGCGCTCTTAAACGGAATCCAGCCTGGCTCACTCGCAACGAGATGAAATTGTTTCTTCACGATGATAAATGAAACGAAATGGTTTGTTTGTGCGACGATAAGTAAAGGTATTACTCGTTGCGTTTATAAATAAAAGTGTGCTTCCGCATTTTCCAGATTTAGTATTTATTTTCTTCTTTTATTTTAAATATGCTTTTTATTATTATTTATTAGCATCTTTGAGAAAAAAATTTTTTAAAGACTTGATCAATTTACAAGCACGTTATATCGTGACGCACGTTATATTACTTGATCAATTTACAAGCACTATTATATTAAAAAATCAATGCTTTGAAAGCATCTGATGTAAAGACATGTCTTTCCTATAATCAAGTGCTGCCATCCAGAAATACTGGTGAACTGTTTTACTCGTCGGATAACGCATCAAAACACATACATGCATATAATAGTATTTTTATTGCAATCAACTAAAAAATGACAGATAAATGCACACTGGATGATAAAAATTGTACTTACTACCAAAATAAATTCCAAAATGCAAGCATTTTTTTATAGTTATATCTATATATAAAATATCACCATTAGAAATAATTATTACAATAAAGATTAAATATTTATTATTCACAAAATCAAAACGGAATCGTAAAATACGTAAGTACAATGACAATAAGTAATGTTTCTGATATATATTACACACAATGTTTTCGATATATATATATATATATATATTATATGTACATCTTTTGTGCGCTAGTCGTTATACAAATATCATTTATCAACAAAATTGCACAGATACGAAATAAAAATATATTTTATGTATCTTCGATTAGTTTGCGGCATTTGAAATTCATAATCCACGCATTAATATTAATATACATTCATTACATAAAAAATGATAATGATATGGAATAACGAGAGATTTTATTAAGAGATTTATATAATTATTTAACTAACTTCTATTATATATATCGCTTTCCTTCAAGGCACAATGTCTTCGGCCATTGCTTCTCTCTTCGTCATTATTAATATCTATTGCCATTGATGTCATACAAAAGCCATCGTGGAAAAAATCGAAATAAGAAAATAAAAACAATGATAAATATTGTCGAGAAAACAACGTTCCGCTAATTAATTAATCGATTAATTTCCAAGATGGTTTCCGAACTGGATTAATGAATTTACAGTCCACAGATACACGGAGTGTATATGTTCCAAAAGCGTACAATGTAAGTAATTAACTTAATTGATCAAAATCGTCGTTTCCTTCCGCGCTCTTCGTTCCAATCGCAGGGCCTCGTCCGAGGAATCACAAAGGAATCCGCAAATACTGAAAAACAAAATGACACATGGTATGAGAACAAGTATATGTAGAAGGTCGTGATATATCGTGAGGGACGTGCCAAAGAATTCGGTACTAATGTAAGAAGAATTTAAGGGTCAAGGGCTCTCGGGGCGCGAGCTCGACGTTATATTTAAACCGCTTGTAAGCAATGAGATGTCGCGGACACATGTTGCAGCTGTTTACATTTTCCTTCTGCAGTTAATGAGTGCCGATTAATATCAGCACGCAATCGTCGGGATCATCGCGGGCTGCTACATTTCAAAGATGGAAGGAGCCTCCGGAAAATAATTCTTTTATATTTCAAGAAAAGTTCTCGCGCTATTATCGTACACGCAATAAAACATCGGAATAAAAGAAGACATTAGATAATGCCCATTACGACACACACGTGTTTTGTGATTATTTCAAAGCACGCAGAAGCAGAAGATTAAACTAAACTTTTAAATCAAGCAAAGGCAAGAGAAAAATTTTGTCCGTTCTGCTAAGAAAATTTTTTTAAGTTTAGAAAAAGATTAATTTTTTATTCCTTTTTCTATTATTGTACAATACACATCCACATAATATATTATATATGTATTATATAATAATAGAATATTATGTATGCGTTTCTTAAGTATGTTAATTAATGAAAACATTTTTGTAAAAATTTGTTAACGTACATTTAAAAATTATTAATTTTGCAATACTCATCTATAATAGCATTATGTAAGTTAGAGAGGACACTGTTCGGAGATTTCAGAGATTCACACAGAAAAATTTACGTATATAGCCAAGTATAATTATGTTAGAGAGCATAGGAGAAACGGATTGGAAATATAGATTGAAGCAATTATCACATCGTCCACACAGCCTCGCAACGAACGCACGGGCCACACCAGTAACAGGTTTTAATTTACGTCATCGCAATCACGAGACATAAGCGTGGAGAACCTCTTGCACACGTCAACGTCCCACGTCGCCTCTCACGCTCCAGGAAGGGACGGCCTACTGGCCGTTCTGCTTCAACAACTTCCGCGTCCTGAAGCCACGAAAGCCGGCCTGGATTCTCGTCGCCGCGGCCTGCACGGCCTGCTGCCTCTTCCGCACCAGGAAGCCGCGAATGCCCGCTTGAATCTTCGTCGCCGACTTCTCCTCGAGCGCTTCCCGAGTGCTCTGCCTCTTCAGCAGGTGCTCCTTCGGCTTCGTGTGCTCGTGCTGCTGCTGTTGGTGATGGTCCCGCTGCCGGTCCTGCAGCAGATTCTGCTGCTGCTGTTGCTGACGACGGCGCTGCGTGGATTCCTTCAGCTGCTTGCGCACGCGGTACCCGCGGAAGTTGGCCTGGATCTTCGTCGCCGCCGTATTGGCCTTCATCGCGTCGGCGTTCTCTTGCGGGGTCTGCGACATGAACGGAGTTCTGAACCGGTCACGCGAAGCTCCGTTTCTCGGTCGGTTATTGCGTTTACGCGATGCGTCCGTAAAATTCCGAGTTCTCCAAGTTGTTTCACGAGAGCCGACTCTCCGCAGAAACTCGACGTTCTCCCGGATCGCTTACAAAGATCGTTTCCGGAGAGAGGTTCGCGTACCTTCGGCTTATTTACAAAGATCGATCCCGAGAGCGGAAACTATTTCGAAGTTATTCTTGATTATTTGTGAAGATCGTTGCCGAGAGAACAGACCTATTCCCCATGGAGAGATCCCCTAGCGATTTATCGGAATCGTATTCTAAGCGGTGAAACTGGATAAAGAGAGATGAAGACTCCCTAAATTATTTTTAAAGATTTGTTTCAAAGCGGAAACAAAGTAATCTTGTGGGTGCAGGGACAGATAATCCCTCGTATTATTTATGATCCCGTCAGCGGAAATAGAACAGACAGCCACCTTCGGGATACCTTCGATCGTCTATAAATATCGGTACCAGAGAGAAAGAAAGAGCGGCTTTTTTTCTCTCTCCGTAGAGATTCTCTTCAGGAAGAAAACCGCAAGTCTCCGGTATTATTTCAGGTATCGTCTGGAAAATCGCAGTATCGAGTGGACATCTGTGAGGCGAATCGCAAAGAAATTATTATAATAAAAACAAACTCCGGATTTCGAATCGACGATCTGCACGATGATTTGGGAATATCGATCCGAGAGAGCAGAGAGGCGAGCGAGAGCCGGACGATCTTCCTGATTCCCTGAGGCGCGGAAATTTTATCTCGCGGGAAGGATGCGAAGACGCGATACGATAGCTCTGCCTCGCAGAACACTTTTTTTTCGTTCACTTCCGCGATCTCCTTATCGCGCGTCCTCCTGGCCAGAAGCGGAATGGGAAACTGACGTGAAACGGACGCGCGACAAAGAGGCTCGCGGCGAGCGCGGTTTATCCGCCTCGGACGAAGGATGGATCTATCACGCATGCGTTCTGCGTTCCGATGATAACCCGCCGGCGAGAGAGGCCCGTACGGTTCTCCGAACCGTCGATCGCCTTCACGTCTTATTTCACGCATCCGAGGATGGTTAATTTCGTACAAAGTTGGCAGAGGGTGAGCGCCGATCGTCCGATAGCCGTGGGACGGCCTTCGCGCGCTTTTGAAATGAAGCTAAAAACGCGAGCGCGCTGGATTTTATTTGTATTACGAGAAGACTGGAGAAAGAATGCAGCTCGAAGGCAATTCGAATCGAACCGCGCATCAAATAGAATATTTTTATCTCTTTTCGTTTTTAATTGCGTATTTACATATATAAATACGTATCTATTCCACTTTGAAAATTTTTATATTCCTTTTTCTATATATTTTATTATTAGTTTATATATGTATATTATCTGTTTCAAAAAATAAAAATAAAAAAAAAATCCGGGATTTGTTGAAAAGCCTCCACGTTACGTGCATTAGGTTTAACGCGTCAAATGCCGGAGTATTTCCTCACTCTCATATGGTACAATTTTCACTTTATTTGGGCTTCCCAGTGACACGCTCGTTCGTTGAAAAATATTATGTAGGCGATTTAATTTAGGGAACTCTATATAATACACTTGTTTGAGTATCGTTCGGACGTTTATTCTTCCACTTGCGGCTTGATTGATCGCGTCGTGTCAGGGGGAGAGCGATGTATTGGGGAGCTCGCAAAGTGTTCGTAATACATCGCCCGGGACAAGCATTAATTTCGGTCTCGTGAGTGCGGTCGACATGCGCGTCACAGTGAATTCGTCGTCCTGAGGCCAATATACGCTGATTGATGATTGATGCTCGCGAGAGTGTCGACGAAAGTCCGCGCGCGCGTGCGGCCAAGAACATTCCAATTTGTTTGCGTCCGCCGTTTGATCTCGGGCGCGTATTCGCGCATAACTCTTCACCGATGCTCATCATCACGAAAATATACTCGCTCGGACGATACGCGTCGTCCAATCGGCCGGCACGGACATCGATAACGATTCCGCTCGTATAAAGATCTCGCACGTATCCCGTGACGCGTCCCACCCCGTTTTCAATTACTCGCGTCTAACGTTTTCGTAAATTATCATCGATATTGTATAGCATTTGTTAATTTAATTAATATGATTACCATACTCTTTATATTGAGACATCAGTTTCACGAATTAAAATTGCACGGTGATCTTACAAAGTTTTTCTAGTTAGAGAAGTAGATATGTTAGTTTTTGTTAAACGAAGTTGAATGTCATTTTAACCGATTTAAAATTTCTAGATAAAAATATTGTAATATGTTGCGAATTCTCTGAAGCTACAGTTTTACAAAACCGTGAAATAAAAAGCTCTCTCTTCATTCATAATTTAGCGACAATAATATATATAAAATATTAATAGTCAGAAAGAACGGTATGTTTGCAAATTAATAGTAGTATAGACATTAAAATGACGGACACATTTCCGCTATTAATAAACTTTCAATTTATTAATAGCGGAACTGACTCTTGGAAAAGGAACCAATTTCATCATTTTCAATTTTCATGAAGGACGATTTTGTGGCTATATTAAGAATCATTGAAAGCCCAAGTTGTTTATTTTAAAATAAGGAGTCTTAAGTATTGGATGAGAAAGATGATCCGAAAAATGTTACACGATACAGATATCCTTCCGACAATTTTCTTGGAATGAAGTTATCTGCCTGCATGGCCCACAGCTGCACTCATCTCGCGCTCGCTGACTTTGCTTACCTCTCAGAGATACCGGGCGTACGTGACAAAGCTGCAGCAGCGGATCGCTCGCGACTATCGACGAGCGTGATAGATTCTCGAAATGACGATGTATGTACACGACTGACGACGATCACCACGAGAGAAAGAAAGAAAGGAAGAAAACGCGAACGGTTGCCGCGACAGGTCGCGGTAATGTCTGAGCGCGAATCGCGGCGAGTGGCGGCGGCGGCGGTGGCGGCGGCGGCGGCGGCGACGACGACGACGGCGTCGTCGTCGCGACGCCCGGTGACGTCACCGCGACGTCGTGCCCTTACCTTGGATCTCCGCTTACTGGTTGCTTTCGACGACCACGATACTGATCGTCACATCCGTCTCTCTCTCTTCTCTCTTTCTCTCTAGATCGTGGCAGGCACTAAAAATATGTACCAAGGTCCGTATCCGAGCCGCTTGCATTCCGCGTGATCCAAATGCAAAACACTGTCGGTCCGATTCCGAAGCTTTTTGATTATTACGGACGTAATTAGCGGCCAGCCACGTTCGAAAGATACAAAGCTTCACTGTGATGAAATATCTCCGTATTGTACTTCCACTGTTTTTTTTTGGAGTTTTTTTCATTAAATGGCAAGATGCGAAATGTTAATATAAATATACATAAAACGGGAAATATTCATCATTGATTCAAGATTTTGCGTCATAATTAATTAATTCGTAGACTATAATTATACTGCGATGATACTATGGAAATGTCATGAAGAATATTATACATAATTTGCAACTTACAGCGATTAGCTGTATACCTATACTAGCCTATTGAATATATTAAATCATTAAATATTTTTTGTAGTAGATATTCTGAAGCTGATATAAAAGCGAATTGAATTAATCTTACATATGCAATTTATTTGCTGCTCTTTGCGTATAGAAAGATATACAATATATCTTCAAACTATGTAAAAAGCAGGGAGAGACCGTTCGCTTGTATCGTGTAGCGAAATTGCGATTCTAAAATTCGCGTTATATTTCCTTCATACAAATTAATAACTAACAATAAGCGTTATGTGTATAATGATTCTTTTCGTGTACACTAATACTATTCCTGAGAGACACCCTTCTCGTATCGTCTATCTATTTCGACATAAACGAGTCAAAAACAGGCACTCTGGATCCTACAAGTTAAGAATGATATAAAACGCAAGTGCCTCTTGTAAAAATATTCTAATGTGCAATGAAATTATAACGGTCATTGTTTTGCAAACGACGATTCTAATTGGAGGAACCAGTTGACCGATCATAAAATTCGCGACTCCTGCCCTGCTTTATACCAACCCACATGTCTCCACGAATTTATGATTCACGTTTTATCGTCCTCTCCTTCCACGTGTTCGCGTCTGTCGCGAGAGATCTCGTTGGATTCTTTATTCGCATCCTCGCTACGCAAATCGCTCTCTCCGACGGTCTCAAGGTTGCGAGCAGACTCTTGTCCTTCAGCCTCTGCTTGTTTCCGGTCTTCCGTTGCATCCGTGGTACTCGCAGACACCCCTAAATCATCCTTCGTGTCCTCGGGGGCACATTCCTCGGATGGCATCGAGCTATTTGTATCCAGCGAGGTCTTCGGCGCGGTCGACGGTTTCGTCGACTCCGACGGGACGAGCTCATCTAAGCTGGTCATCTCCTCGATCACGACGCCCTGAGAAACGCCCGAGAGAGCCAACGGCTCCATGAGGCTACCCTCGCCGGAGGTCGTCGATAGACGAGCGTCGTCGGTGTTCTTCGCGCTCCTCGTCACGTCGTCCAGAGTCAAGGAATCCATATTGGAATTTAGATCCTCGACGCTGGTTATAAAATTCAAGTATTGATTTTCGTCGTCTCTCGGATAGCCCAGCATCAGGATGTCTACGGTCGGTTCCATGGGATTCGCTCCTCCAGTACTTGGATTAAAACCTGAATGGGAGTTCTGACCGACCGCGAAGCGGCGGGACGCGTCCGTCAGCAGATGCATCATGATCGGAAAGGTGGGATCAACGAAGGCGTTGCCTTTGTGGAAATTCGTCCGATGTTCGCTGTCGCGACTGTGAGAATAAGTAGCGAAAGATGATGTTTACACAAACGTGATTTTAGTTCACGATCACTAGGCAACGAGTAATATTTGAAGCGTACTAGATGCATTCTTCGTTTCTTCTACGAGTATTACTACTTACACGGGTTCACTCTCTAGCTTGTCGCTAGATTTTGCAATATCAGGTGGATTAGCTTCTTCTACATTAATTTCTTCATCCAAAGAATCATTCGAGGTGACTGAATCAGTCTTATTCGTCAGATCGAAAGGAAGCAACGGCACAGAGTCGTGAAACTCGCCGGTATGTTGAAGCCGACCAGTCGCAAAGGCGTTCTCCAACGAGAGTGTGGTATTTCGCAGAGCCTCTTCTCGTCGAAGACGTCTGCCTTCTCGCAAATTCGAGGTATCCTGCGGTACCACCAGACGATCGGTCTATAAACATTAACATGGAATTCAATTATTCTTAATCTCTCTATTAATATTATAAGAAAAGGAAAAGAGTGTTAATTCAGGCATTTAATCACTATTAAAAGAAAGCTTAATATTAAAGGAAAATGTTAAATAATTAAATATTAGCGTAAATCTAAACTTTATTTTGAGACATGAAATTTTGAAGAAAATGTAACAAAAACAACGTTCGCACGTAAGACCGCGGACGTCAATTCTGATTTAAGAAACAATTATTTTAAGGAACCGAAAACTCGAGACTATCTGCCAAGCCGGTTACTGCCAAACCGCCTGTTGCAATCACGAAAGCGCTGACGTTTAGCAGTGACCCGCCGCTTCCTCTTTTACGTAATAAACTTCCGACGGGCGTGGCGTGCGAAATATTGCGTCCAGCTGTTCAACTCGGCAAAACAGAGGAAAACCGATGGACTCAATTCCGAGATCAGTTTCCACTTTGAATAGCCATGTGCAAAATTATCGTATTCTATTTAGAATACGACAGCAACATTTTAATAAGAGATTTTATTTTATTAGATTCAATGTATCGCACAATTTTTGTATGTAATTTAATTTTTTATATAACACATTAATTTTTTATGCAGCTACTTTCAATTTTATAAAATATTATAAATCAATATTATTTTATGCTTAATAATATTAATCTATATATATTTTTTAAATCAAAGTTAATTTATTAAAAACGTTTAAGGTTATTATATTAATTATAATTACCTTCCGCGTCGATGGAACGATGTTAGAAATAAATTCTGAGTTCAAACTTCTGCGTACGCGGCGTCGCGCTAAAAATCCTCGGATACCTTAAAAAAAATGATCTTTGTTATTTATTATCCTTTACATAACATCATCAGTGTTTTAAAATAACATTACTTTATTTTCTAATCTCAAGAAAATTAATGATACTGCAATATTATTTATATCCGCGAATTTAATTGAACTCTCTTGTTGCCTTTTGGTTTTATTATATTTATTATATTAAGCGTAATAAAAGATAAGAAAGTCAATGGTTAGTTATCTACATTGCTAACGCAGCATATTTAAAGAATCACGGTGTAATTTTATCGAAACGCTGCGTTTTACTCACAAGCTTGAATTTTTATAACCGCCGAGTGGAAATCATCTTTCCTCTGAATAAGCGATTCGTCCGCGATGATTTCTGGCGCATCAGCAGCAATGTCCGCCTTCTCGTCGGTACTCGTATTAGAATTGAAAGCTTCGATTACCGTTTCAACGGTCGACGATTTCGTCATCGTGGTCCAATATCCGAAACGGGAATGGTCTTCCACCGAATGTTCCGATATCGCGCTTGTAATTGGCCCATGGACGCTCTCTACCTTCCCTGAAAGATCTTCACTTTTCTCTTCCTTCTCATTTTTCACATCTTTTCCTGTTTGGTCTTCAATGATGGATTCATTATCTGGTTTAATCTCCTCATGTTCAACATTTTTCATCAATTCGTTTATCGAGCTTTTTCTAGACTCTGTTTCTAAAGGTAATACTCTCACACTTACAATTTGTTCCTCTATCTCTACATTTTCCTTATCATCCTTATCTTGAATTTTTAATTTTTCCTGCTCGATTTCTTCTTGAATGTCTATTTTTTCTTGCTTGCATTCCTCGTGTACTTCTAATTTTTCTTGGTCGTGTTTTTTCTGATTTTGCAACTCTTCTAGTTCATTTTTTTCCTGCTTTCTATTCGATTCTTCAATTTTACTGTCGCTGCTTTGGCTCTCTGGAACTTCTTTAATACTCGTTTGTTTATCTTCAAATTTTTCGTGAATAACGGTGTGGTCAGTATCAATAATATTAGGCTTACTTTCATCAATTATAATTCTTTCATCAACCGTCTCAGAACTACCATTTTCTTCTAATAATTTATCTTGCTCAAATTCTGCTAAAGGTGCAACCTTCTCTATATGTGCTTTTTTTGTCATTTCCGATTTAACTTTTCCAGTTTCTTTGTCTATTATCGTGCTATCTTGGCTGATATTCGTTACGTCACCTGATAATTCACTAGCCGCTTCAATCTTTATTGTTTTATCTAAAGAATCTTCATGTTCCTTTTTTTCCCGTTCAACTAACATTGAATGCATAGATGCGGACAATAATTGTGGTTGATTAGATTTATCGTCTATTTCTAAATTGTCCTTCTCAGACTTTTCAGTATCTACAGATTCTTTTTTCAAATTCAATTCTTCAGCGCGAAGTTGCATATCTTTATCCAATGAGCCTATCAATTCTCTTGCGATCTCTTCCTCGCTTCCTAATTCCTCCGCCTCCGCTTTCTCCGGCAAAAGCAAATCGGCTCGCACAGCGTCTTCCGGTAAAGCCTTCGAATCGATACTACCCTCCTGAAATATTGTTTCATTTTCCAAGTTGATTTCCTCAGACAACGGATCCTTCTCCAGCCATTCGTATTCCACGTGTTCCGCACGATATAATTGATCAGCCTCCGGCGCCTCTGACTGCAGGTCTCTCTCTGTCAACTTTTCAGCGACAATTTCTTCTTCGTAATCGATCAACCGATTCATCAGCCTCTCATCCGAAATCAACGGCTCGACGAGGGAAGTGGCATCGCTCTCCTTAGGGCTGCCGTTGTCCTCCTTCTCCGTTCCGTTTGCCGTCATCTTGAAAGACGACACTGTGTTATCCTGAAGCGAATCCAGGTTTAGTTCCGGTACCACTGGTCTACCCGGACTCGGACTCTCGATCGATCGGTTGCTCACGGTGCTTTCCTTCGCGTCGCTCGACGTAGTTGTGTGGGTACCCTGCGTACTCCCGCTCTCTTCCGATGAATTCTCCAGCAGGCTTCTGGAGTCTGTCCCGACGTCTGCTTTTCTTTCGGCTGGCAAACTAGTGTCGATCGTTAAATCCCTGGTATCAGGCAAGGATTCGTACTCGAGAACGTCAGAAGAAGTAATTTCTTCAGCGTCCTTAGACCCAATTGTCCTTACATCAATTTCCTCGTTCTCCTCGTGTTCCACGATGTCTTCCAGCGTCGAAACCTTTTTCACTTCTTCCTCTTTTACATTTTTTTCTTCATCATTTTTCTTTTCCTGATAGATCTCTGTCTCTTTTCGTTCTTCTTTTTCCTCCTCTTCTTCACCTTCCTCCTTGATCCTGTCCAAGTCCTGATGGACGATCGTTATGTCCTGGCTTGGTTTCATCCCTTTCGCGCCACGCATAAAATCGGTATCAATGGGCAGACCGGCAGAGTCCGGTCGAATATATTCCCCAAAAACTTCCATGCCGTATTCATGCTGATCCTTTTCCTGTCTCTCGTCCTTGGAAATCTCCTTAGCCATATCGAAGCGTGCAAATGACTCCTTTTTTTTATTTGTTGAGTCAAGCTGATAATCCTCGTCCTCCAGGGTAACGGGAGAAAGACACGACCTGTCCGGAATGATCACGGTCGTCACGGAGTCGGGGATCTCGCAGGGAGAACCTTCACTGAGAACGTAAGAGTATGGAAGCTCTAAAGAGAGCGGCGTCATCACTAATTTGTCGCTCTCGCGTTTCTTCCGTGCTTTCGTACTGCTGCTCTCATTCGGAAGATTCGAGCTTTCGCTCTTAATCGCAGCACTTCCAGAAGTTGCGCTCTTGGAAAATCCATTCGTCGTATTTTCAGTTTTCTTTTTCGATGTCATTGCATTATCACCGTCCGTTTCGACGGCTTCAGTAATCTGAGAATCTTTGCCATGCGATCTTGGATTTGCAGATTGCAGATTTTTTACATGAATCTTAACTGCTACTTCTTCTATGCCATTTAAC